AATTTACATGATGAGTACTGGCCTGAGTCTCCTCCATCAAGCGACGGTTCTCCACCAGCATTTGGCGGTTCTCCTCCGTGGCTCGAAGGTTGTCAGCCACCATCTTGCGGTTCTTCTCCATCATCTGACGAAGGGCCCCCACTGCTTCGCCGAGATCTCCACCAGGCTCGATTGCCACCAAGATCTCTGCTCCACCGTTTCCTCCGGTCACCGCGTCGGACGCTTGGCCATGCTCAATGTTGGCCACCTGCTCCTCCACAAATCCAGCTGGAACGTCACCTTCTTGGTTCCTCCGCGTCGGAGCCATTGAATCGACACAAGAGTCCCACCAGGTGTGCCAAATTTGTTCTCCGGCGAGAAAACTTGCTGAATTGATATTGATTGCACCTTGACTTCTTTGGACAACGATTAACTTAACACAGTTCACACCTCTTCAAACACAGTTCGAACGAGGGTGATCGATGTTTACACGACTCTCGAGACAGATCTACATTAAGTTACTCCTACTCCTATGGAGGTTCTGTGAGAGCTCCAGATCTACTACTACGGCTAAAATTGCAGAGGAAAGGATAAAGGGATAAAATTTGACATTGTGTTGTCTGGTGTGAATTTGGCGACTCTTTTTCTCTGACAACTCTTCCTCCTATTTATAGGCTTGAGGTGATAACCGTCGTAGAAAACTGTCTGGAGAGTAACTTCCATAAAGAACTGCTTCCCTTCTTTCTCGGACGTGGCTGACGTGTCCTTGAACATAGGGTAATTGACAGTTTCTCAATCAAACCGTCGGCTCTCCCTTTTGGAATTGACGTCTTGTTACTTGCCCTTTCCTTTACCATGACTATTACAGATCTCGTTACGAGGCGGTTTGTCAAACATGATGACAATGCTAGAAGGCTTGTCGCTTAAACTTAGTAGAGGCTTGGCGGACTTGCGACGAGGTGGCCTGGCGGACTCGCGTAGTGGCCTGACGCGAGGAGGCTTGGCGCTTGAACTTAGTTTATTTTGTGACCTTCTCCTCGCATATCTTGTAGACTCGCGATGTGTTTAAACAAGGAGGTTTGTCGCGACAAGGGGGTCTACCAACTTGACGCGAGGAGGCTTGTCGCGATGAGGTACCAGACTTTGTTTATTCTCACGCGTCATGTCAGACCTAATCATTTGGGTTTAAAAATCTAGTATCGTAGGCCCAGTTTAAATAACATTAATTGTTATTGTTGATCTGGCCTTATAAAGACAGTAAATGTCTTGTAAATAATCAATGTGGTAAACGATTACTTTTGTAGTGTAAACACTAACAAAATTATTTTAACGTATGTATTTTTTCTAAATGGACCCACCCTCGACAAAATCCTGGCTACGCTCCTGAGTACAACCTAGGATAATGAGTCAAGATATTAGTACCGCCTATCTGATCATGTTAGGTAAGGCAATTAACTACAAAGAAAGAAAAATTCTTTGAAAAATGAACATATATAAGATGTGATGGCGAGGACGAGTGAGATGCATGAATGAGAATGACTTTAGTTTTTAGTGAAATGATATTTTCTTGTCGAGCAGGATACCATTAATAGCTGAATAATTGACTCCATATGGATCATTTTCTCGACTTACTAAGCGCAATCAACTAATGTGCGAGCCCCGCCTCACTGTCAATCCTCCTAAAGAGATGAGATGACATAAAGCCAGGAAAATGAACTTGCATACCATGAAACTCTCCCATCTCAAATGTCGACAACTTGATAGAACAATAAATTGAGATAGCTTAATATGCAATTAGTGTAGGTAGAAAGAGAGCAAATATTTCTCAGTACCTGCTTACCGACTCATTGTGCTCTTGGCCTTGTCTCTTCCCTTTCACTCTCTTTTCATTCTTCCTGCACCAGTACAGAAATGGAGGGTTTCATGACAAAAAGGCTATTGTGCCTCAGGTTGAACATGCACCAAATGGTTCCGGGAAAGTTGAAGCATGTATTGTAAGTGTTCACTAGCTGTGATACAGGAAGAAGGAGCAAGCTACTGTGATCAAGTGCACAATGGTTCTCCATTCATACTCTGCTGGAGTAGGATATATTTTAGGGGGACAAGTCATACATCTTGTTGCCATGAAATTAGGGTAGGGCAAGAGGCTTCCCATAAGCAAAAGTTAACGGAATTGGACGGAGAGTGACCAAACATGAACAAGTCCAGGAACTCTTCTCCAGAATGAACTGGGTCAAGCAGGCCAGTCAAGAACGCTGAAGGTGCATATCGGCTCGCACAACTTCTCGAGTCACATTGTCTGGATCAGCATATACATGGGATTTGTACTGGGATTGGATGGCATTCTCGTTTCTGACAATCACATTATACATCATCCAACCTTCTCCATGTGCGCCCTCAACGTGCCCCTAAGTAGATCATACCTGTTAAATTGACCAAAAGCTCCATCTGGTTTAGTTCCTCAAACAATGAAACCAAAGTCATTTTCTAGAAAATAAGTTCTTGGAACTCCAACTTGCAGCGTTCAAGAACATAAAACATAATTCACATGATTGATCCCTTGACTCCATGTTTGAGTCACGACCAAACACAATAGGCAGCAGACCACCCCAGGTTGGTGCAACAGCTGCAATAGCTGCTGGCTTCACCAACCCCTTCTTTGTAGCACGAACTAGAATCGTGGCAGTATGCCCTCCACCAAAGACCACCAATTCACGAAATCAAACATTCCATGCCATCAGTGAACGCTACCCAATTGAATAATATCGAAGCACACCAACCTTTAAATTCACCTCATAGCAACTGGTTACACGTTACCAGAAAACAGACAATTTCTAAATGATTGCACATTGACATTGAAGTTATCTCTATCACCACTACAAGAAAAATGACTTTTTGCAACCAATAAAATTGGTTCCTAAAGATCAAAAAATTGGTTATAAATACCAATTTGCGACCAAAATATTTTGGTAGCAGCATTGGTCGCTATAGACGCGTTACTAATTCCTAGTGCAACCAAAATCAGGATTGGTAGCAAAAAAGAAAGCTTTCGCAACCAAATTCACCAATGGTAAAAAAACCTTACTTTTTCGCGACCATTTTAATTTGGTTGTCATAGTCCAATTAATGGTTGGAAAATATAATTGATTGGTCGTGAAAAATTAAAATGACAACCAATTTGATGTGGCTATTAGTAACCTATTTTTTTGGTCGCAAATAGAATTTACGTACGTTTTATAGGTGACCATTCAGTTTGGTTGGGAAATTAACATATGTCAACCAATTATATCATTACAACAACCAATTGTTTAAGTTACGGAAATTTAACACAACCATGAAATTTGTGTTTTCCCCTATAGTTTTTTTTGTTTGGATTTTTTATATGTGTCATCAGATTATCTATTTGATGAAAGGGAGCTGTTTTGAGAGTCTCCTTGCATACACCATCATGACAATTTGTTCTCAAACTTTTCTATGCCTTACAGTATACAACGACTAATGTTTTTTTTTATTTACCTTCATCTTCTTTTTTATCTCTGTTTTGCAGGCAACTTCTCTAGAGCAAGCATCTAACAAGCATACCCAGACTTTTTTTTGTTTCTCCTTCTATGATCATAGGAGGAGCAGGAAAGTAAAAGCTAGAGATGACGGAAGATGGAAATGACCAAATGTGAGTACAAACAACTTTAACATCCAACATTTCTTTATTGATGTTTCAGGTTTAATTCGGCTGTTTTTACACCTTTCTCCATCCCCTGATAGTTTCCCTTTTCCCATCAACTGTTTCGATTCTATTGAGTAACCATTAAATGATGGTGAGTAGCCCATTTAGGTATACCTTGCTTATTTGTCCTTCTGGGTTTATCTATTGTGAATGAGCTAATGGTCCTGCATCTTTTATCTCACCGAACTATTGAACACATAGAAGGAGCTTGATCTCAGAAATGTTGTCTTTATTTTGGAGTTTGGTCGCCTCATGTAGGTTGAGTTCTTGTTTTCACGGCAATGCACCTGTTGTTCTCTTAGCCTGTAATGGGACGGAGGCATGGATATTTGTGCGAACTTGGGTCGCATTGAAAAGCCTAAGGGACTGCTGAATAGTGAGCATAATTATGCAGTTATGGATATATAGTGCGAGGATGATCTGGCATTTAGCTCGTGTGATATTTTTTTAAGATGTCTCTTGTTTGTTCTCTTTGATCAAGTTGTGGACTACCCCTCCATTGCTTGTGAAGAATATATTTCTGGATGAGATACGCTCTTGGAGTGTTATCTGATTATCTGGACATGCTTCTTTATCCTTTCTTTCATTCTTGTCGGATACTTTCAGGGAACAAGTAGGTATGTTGTTTGATCTCTCTGGGGTTTGGTTGTCCAATCAATTAATGCTCAAGTCAAAGGCACGTCCTTTAGCTATCATCTATACGATAGCTGGCTAGTTTCTCCCTCCGCGTTGGCTAGAGAGTCTTATTATGGGAAGTCTTACTAGTTTCTCCCTCTTGCTCCGCATTGGCTAGTTTCTCCCTCTGGCCATTAAAAGTGTGCCATGAAACTTTCTTTTCTTTTGAACTGATCACTACTGAGATGCAGCAAAATGACTCCAGTTCTAGTGCACCAGACCCTGCTACCGAGGCTTTCCTTGCCAGCACACTACGTTACATTCAGTTCAGAAACAGAAAGGCGGTACAATTGGCGAAAGATACCCTAAGTTAGCTGCTTATATATTGTCTTGAATAAGATTCTCAGGCAGTAGTCACCCTAAGTTAGCTGGTTATTACCTTATGTTAGTAAAATGGTATTGTTTTCATGAATGTGATTGTCATCCTGTTGGTGGAGCATAAACATGGGAGCCTACTGATTTTGGTTTATTTGTGTATCTGTTTTGTAGTAAAAGCAGTAGGATCTCAAGAGGAGCTTCATGATTTAATGGTGAATCATGAACCGAGATGATCAATCATGAAGCATGGGAACTTAGAAATCTGTAATTCCATTGATTAGTATCGGCAGCAACATCTCTGCATATGGAGGTGACTCTAACAGGTGAGTAATGGATTTGTTTTTCCTCGGATTGTTATGCTATTTACTTGGTGAGACCCATGGATTTGTGATTGTCGAAAATGGTTTTGTTCAATGAAAGTCTTGAACCAACCAGAAGACTAAAGAATTCGATTCCTTTTCCCTTTTTACTTCTTTTTCTAGATAAGAAATCTTGATAATTTTATAAATAGTATTTGGTTGAAAACAAATCCCCGGTTGGGCCATCCGAAGCCGGCGATGATTAGGGTTAAGGAATGCACAGAGCAAGACCCTAGGTTGTGCAATTAATTTTGGTCTCTGTTGGAGGAAACTTTGCCTTCTGTGGGTTCTGGTTTTGATTCCTTTTCGTAATGTAAATTTGTATTATCAAGTTACTAATTAGTACTTGAACTTTGCCTTAGCAGCTGCTCAAGGAGTACAAAGGCAAGCTAGCCAAAGTTGCAGGAAGCAACAGTCCTCCAAGGCAGTTCTACGTTTATGCCCTCTGTGGCTTCGTCCGAGCTCAGGTATTCTAGCTCCTCGTTTCATATTGATAGGGTATCTGCTTATTTGTATGCTATCTAAGGTAGTTTTGTTGACGGTTGTTAGCTCTTAAAGAATCTAGGTCTTTCAGGCTGATAATCTAGGGTTAGGAAACCAGATTATTGTAAAGATCTGGGGGAATGAAATTGTGGTTCCAAAGAGCTTGAAACTGGGAGGACTGTTGCTTTGAAGAAGGTTCGTTTTGACTCTTGTTTACTTCCCATCTACCCTGCAGCATATACCTAGTGTTTGAATATATGGAGCATGACATTGCTGGACTGCTTTCTTGCCCGGAGGTCAGGTTTGCCAAGTCACAGGTTAGTTCCCATTTTATGTCATTGGTGAAGAAGCTTTTGAATTTTGAAGTTCTAGCATATGTATTAATGTTGTTTGTTATGTTTTTATTCTCCCCATCTGCAGATCAAGTGTTCCAAAGGTGGAATGGCAAATCAAAGATACGTGAAGTAGTTAGTGTGGCCTTTAGGTCCTCTTTTTATTTTTTGAAATAATAGGCTGATTCTTAGTGATAATTTGGTGTAATTGTGATTTTGGTTACTAAACGATAAATTGTGAACTATAATTTTCGTTGGTAAACAATTTTGTTATATGAAATAATTTTTTATTATAATTCTATTAATTTTTAATATTTTTATTTTAGTGACCCAAATCTCATCTACCAAATTGGTCATATGAAATGAATTTTTTGGTCGGCGTATGTGTTTTCCGCAACCAATTCTTATGGTAGCATTTAACTTTTATAACCATAAGAATTAGTCGTAACCAATTCCATTGGTCACCAAAATGAGTAGTCGACATATGTATTTTTGACAACCAATTTGTAAGGTTGCGTTAAACTTTCATAACCAATTCCATTGGTCACCAAAATGGTTTAATTGGTTGAGATATATGTTTTTCACGACCAATTGTTATGGTTGTGTTAAACTTTTGTAACAAATATAATTAGTCGTCTAAAATGATATAATTGGTCGGGCTATGTGTTTTTCACGACCAAATTTCATGGTTGTGTTAAATTTTCGTAACTTAAACAATTGGTTGTTGTAATGATATAATTGGTTGACATATGTTAATTTCCCAACCAAATTGAATGGTCACCTATAAAACGTACGTAAATTCTATTTGCGACCAAAAAAATAGGTTACTAATAGCCACATCAAATTGGTTGTCATTTTTATTTTTCGCGACCAATCAATTATATTTCCCAGCCATTAAGTTGGACTATGACAACCAAATTAAAATGGTCGCGAAAAAGTAAGGGTTTTTTACCATTGGCGAATTTGGTTGCGAAAGCTTTCTTTTTTGCTACCAATCCACATTTTGGTTGCGCTAGGAATTAGTAACGCGGCAATAGCGACCAATGCTGCTACCAAAATATTTTGGTCGCAAAAAGGTATTTATAACTAATTTTTGACTTTTAGGAACCAGTTTTATTGGTTGCAAAAAGCCATTTTTCTTGTAGTGAGAATAGTTTGACTTCCATAATGGTAAAAAATAAGAGACCATTTTAATTTTTTTTGTTGATTACCGTTATAGTATTGCAACCGGCTAACGAATCGAGATACAATCTAATTTAGGTTTAATTGGTTTGGTTATTACCACGGTAACCATTTGACCCCTACTCAGGACTCGGGAGGAGAAAGAAAAATCTGCCTTTTGTTTTGTTTTTGTGCTTCCGGATGGAAGTTCTGGCCTGTACCGCTATTTTGGGCTTTTGGAACTAATGGGGCTGGCGGCTTGAATTACCGGTAGATCCAGTCCATGAAAACAATCACATGGGCACCCAAAGCCAAAAGCCCAGGAACTCACCTCGTCTCCAGCAGTCCAGTCTGTTGCTGAAAATTAAATCTCAGCCGTGATATTTTAAAACAACAACAGCCGTCCGATCTAGGGCTTCCGTTCCAAAGGCTCTCGCCTCTCTGCAGGGGATAATATTCTGCCCTTGCTAGCTTCCGCCCACTTCTGTGTTGCAGCCGAGAGACGGAGGAAGAGGAGAAAGGTAGAAGAATCGAAAATGGTGCAGCGTCTCACTTACCGCAAGCGCCACAGCTACGCCACCAAGTCCAACCAGCACCGAATCGTCAAAACCCCAGGTAATGTCTTGCTCTGTCTCATGTTCCCCGCTCGTTGAACCCTAGTGGGGCTCGAACCCTCCTATTTGCTGCTGCTTCCGTGTAATTTTCTCGAAATCTCTGATCCATTCTTTCGATGAAATTTAGGTGGGAAGCTTGTTTACCAGACCACCAAGAAGAGAGCCAGTGGACCCAAGTGCCCCGTTACTGGGAAGAGGATCCAAGGCGTAAGTACTTTCTGGATATTTGTGCTTGTATTTCCTTTGAGTTGACGAGATGGAGATACCCGATTCGGGTTGTATTTTGTTACTTTTGGGTTTTTCCATTTGGCGGCACTGTTTTACGTTCTTGGGTTTGTGGAAAGCAGTGATGATGTTAAGGAAGTATTGCCTCGTGATGGAGTGTTGGATTTGAATAGTTCCAATAAATTCACGAGCAATCGCTATAATGCGTGCCTGAACAATCTTCCTTTCGATATAGAGTCCAGTTGTTGAAGTCAAGTCTTTGTTAAAGCGGTTGAGCTGTGGAATGGTAGATAGTTGTCTTTCTTCTTCTACCAGTATTGGTAGTGTAGGTACTACATGATGTGGATTGGGTCATGGGTGTCTGAAGTTCTGCATTGTTAGGTTTTCTATTTAATGCCGTCAAATGCTCGATATCTTCATCCGCCATACTCCTTTCATGGTCAACAATCTAGTTTTCAACATTGTTGTTGTTGTTTTAGGATGATCTCATTTCAACAGTGAACCTTCCAGCCATCTTGAAACTTTCTTGAATTTATCTTACTACATGCCAAGCATTTGTATCGTCATTATTTGGACTTTTATGTTTTTACTGTTCTAGTAATGAACTTGATCTTTCCTTTTCTGAAGGAGATTCTGATTCAAATTATGCTTCTGTGTTTACAGATTCCACACTTGAGGCCTGCTGAATACAAGAGGTCTAGGCTACCAAGGAACAGGAGGACTGTGAACAGAGCATATGGTGGTGTTTTATCTGGAGGTGCTGTAAGGGAGAGGTGTGTTTCGTACTCACTTTTTTCTTTCAATCTCTTCTGTTTGTTGTCTCTGTTATGGATAATGGTTTACATGCTGTGCATGGGTAGAAGTTGTTGGTATCTTCATTACGTTTTTTGGTTGTTTGTAGGATCATAAGGGCATTTTTGGTGGAAGAGCAGAAGATTGTCAAGAAGGTGTTGAAGATTCAGAAGACAAAGGAGAAGCAGTCCTCAAAGGCCTAGATCAGCTCCATAATATGAGATGAATGTTTGGATTATTTACTTATGGTTTTTATCCTAATCAAATTTTGAGTAAACAGATGTGAGTTTTGATGGATTTTATACACCCGATCACTGACTTGTTTCACTTTGGCTGCCGTCTATATTAAGTCGCATTTGTTTCAACTGCACTTCATTAGTTTAAACATCAGCCATGTTTGGGAAGTTAGCTTCCCTGAAATTTGAAATTTCATAACCTGAGTTAGGGGTGGGCAACACTATTTGGTCCATAGTTTGAATCTATATTTGCTTGGATCAGATTTGCACATAGTCAGTCCCTTTTAGGTTTCTTGTTGAATCTCGTTTTTGAAGGATACTATCAAAATCGTGGAAACGGGTGAATCCCAGAAAAAATTATGGGTCGTTTGGAAGTTGCGATAGTTTTGTTGAGATTGTCATTATGCATGTATTGTTTGTAATGTATCGTTTTTTTAGCAGAAACAATACATGGATTGTTTCTGTGATGTGACATAAACTATCACTCATTTTGAGTGATTGTTATATCTCAACTTTTAGTTGTGATTGTTGAGATAGTTGAGTTGGGATTGTTTTGTCTCAGCTTTTAGCTAATGCGACATACACAATAACACATACCAAACGTTGTATTCTACAATGCATCAAATTCGACAATACATGTATAATATTGTACATGCATTCTCAACAATACATCTATTTAACAATCGCAACTTCCAAAAGACCCCTTAATATCAATTTTGATCATTCGAATTACTAAAATGTGTCACATTAGTCACTGTTCCATTAGTCTTCGTTCAACTCTGATCACTCGAATTACTTTTTTTTTATGAATGTCACCCGAATTACTGAATCCGTTCAACTCTGGTCACTCGAATTACTTTTTTTTTATGAATGTCACTCGAATTACTGAAACATGTCACATTTAGTCAGACTAAATGTGACATGTTTCAGTAATTCGAGAGCCCAAAATTGATATTAATTTTTTTTAGTAACTAAACATGACATGATTTAGTAATCTCAGTGACCAAATGTGACATTTACCCAATAAAGCTTGAGATTCATTGGTCTTTGGATCTATTAGCACTTAAGCAGCGAACTATACTAGGGATGGCAATGGGTCGGATACGGGGCGAATACCCCCTATCCGTTGCCCGCATTTTAGGCCCGCGGGTAATGCCCGTGCCCGCCCCGTTTGATTATACGGGCAGAGAATCCCTACCAAGCCCAAAACCATTCGGGCTTCGGTGAACCCACGGGTTATGGACTACCCGCCAACGAGCCTAACACCTAAGCCCAAAACTCATCCAATTCCAAATGAACTCATAAACAAAGAAAAAACATTTAAAAAAATAACAGCGAGCTGCCAGCAGTATCAATGACAATGAACTGCAAACCCAAAACCTATCTGAAATCCAGCAAGTCTCCATCTAAGAACTGAAAGTCTAAAACTGGCAGCTAAACATAGTCTGCAATTCAGCCAATTCTCAACTAAGAATAGTCTAACAAACCCCAAAACATGGGCACTAATGAATCCATGATAATGCAAACACAATAACAAAACCATAAATCACTAATTATTAGCAACAACAAGCATTCTTCACTTCTTCAAAAACGGCTAGCAACACAGCAGTCTAACAACCCAGCATCATTCCAGCATCATTCCAGCAACCCATCAGACAAGAGTAATTCACATCTAATGCCTACTAGACAATATCTGCAAAATATGACAGATTCATTCACATTAAACACTTGATTCTGATGCATTATTAATAAATGAAAACTTAAACCTTAAAACACAAACCTAGAGCTAGTCCAGTAGGGTGATGACAGCAGTTACATCATCCTCATCACCTTTCTCCTTCGAACAACTTCCAGCTCCATCTGTTACAAAATAAAATGGTTAGAACAGAGCTGAAACATAAGTTAAACACTACTTATAGCAAAATGGTTACCTGTGCACTCTTCCACCGAGGCATCATCCATTGCCATAGCTGAGAAAACCCCCTCCAAAGCTTTCAAATCCGAGGCAGACACTACATGGCAGGGAAAGCAATAATTAATCGATAAGAATACTAACCAAACAATGGAAAACACAACAAAAAAAGTAAGAATTCGATTAAAACAATCACCTTTGCTATCATCTTGAATCCATGTCCTCAATATCATCATGGCCTCTACTGTTAAGGGATCAAGCCTGCTCCGATGGGGGTCCAAAAGCCTCCCACCAGAACTAAAGGTAGATTCAGAGGCAACACTTGTAACAGGCACAACAAGTAAATCCCTTGCAATGCCTTGCAAAATGGGATACTTGGCACCATTGAATTTCCACCAACCAAGCAAATCAAAATCTGGTGTTCTAGGATGATTATCCTCAGCTAGATAGTGATCTAACTCAGTTGTAACAACAGATGTTCTGGTTTTTTTTCCTTTGGCTCACATATAGATCAAAATCCAGATCTGTGGCCGAAGAAGGATGAGATGTAGAAGGAACAGTTGTGTTCTTAGAGGATTTCCTCTGATATTCGACAACCAAATCAACAACAAGATCTTTCACTCTATCAATCACAAGGTCGGAACCAGAACTAGTAATGCCAAATTTGTTTGCATAGTACCCAATCAAATCCAATTTGTACCGTGGATCCATCACAACAGCAACAGCCAGTAGCAAATGAATATCATCCCAGTATTTGACAAACTTTGCCCACATTTTCTCAGCCATAGAAACAATCATCAGGCTAGGATCACATAACCATTCCATCAAACGCAACCTCAAGTCACACACCTTAGCAAAAAACTGATTGGCTGTAGGATAGTTTGAACCAGAAAATACAGCAGTTATATCCTTGAAAACCTCAAGTTTCCCACACAAAATTTCAGCAAACTCCCAATGCTCATTGCTTGGCAGAGAGTTGTATTGAGGTTCCCTTATTTTCAGAATAGAGAACACATCCTTATATGGGATTGCAGCAGAAAGCATGTCAAAAGTAGAATTCCACCGAGTGGGACAATCCAACACCAGTTTCTTAGAAACAGCCAGCTTAAGCTGCTGGGCAGTTGCATGGAAAATTTCAACTCTCCTAGGTGTGCAAGTCCAAAATACCACACTATCCCTGATGTTTTCAATTCCATCTTTGAGAACATCTAGGCCATCCCTCACAATTAGATTAAGGATGTGAGCAGAGCACCTCATATGAAGAAGTGTTCCATCCCTAATCAAATTAAAAAGAACCAGCCTTTGTTTAACTAGATTGATCATGGAATCATTGGTAGTACAATTGTCAAGAGTAATTGTTGACAATGTCCTATCAATGTTCCATGATTGGAGGCATTTAGCAAGCTTAGCAGCCAACCTCTCACTAGTGTGTGGGGAAGGGACATAACCAAACATAATCAGATGGTTCCGTAACTTCCAAGAATTGTCTATGTAATGGGCAGTAACAGCCATGTAAGACCTTTTTTGATTTGTGGCAGTCCACAAATCAGTTGTGATAGCAATCCTCCCTTTGTTTTGGTCCATTACCCCTTGGATTTTAGACTTCTCTAAACCATAATAGTCACAATGTCTTTTTTTATGGTATTTCGGGTTGGAACTTTGAATAGAGGGTTCAAGGTGCAGCAAAACCTTTTGAAGTAAAGGTGATCCACAATAGAAAGGGGATACTCGTGCACCAAGATCATGGTGCAGAGTTCCTTTCTAGACACCTCACTACTAAATTGATTGGTACTCATATCAGCAGTACCATTGGCATTGTAATTAGCACCAAGTACCCTTTGACTCCCATCGTGTATCTTTTTATGAACACACTTGTTCCTATGAGTTCTAAGATGAGAAGTTCCGTTACTAGATTTCCCAGCCAACACCTTCTTACAGTAGTTGCATTTAGCTTTTAATATCCCATTGACCATCAGTCTAGTGAAGTGAGGCCAGACATCAGATTTTAAAGACCTAGTAGCACCTAAGGGATGTTGAGGAAGAACATCTTCCACAATATGTTCAGGATTACCATTAGGAATAGGAGGGGCAGCAGCATCAGCAGGTGCATTACCAACATGTTTGGGTTCCATCTGTTTGACATAAGAAATTAAAAATGTTTTAGAAAGATGTCCAGGTGTGTTCTTATTACTTAGTTCAGAGAATAAGAAGGTTAGAAGCATAAGGAGTTTAGTCATTACAGATTAGGTGTGTTCTTATTACTTAGTGGACTGCAGTTTTCTAACTTAGATTAGGTGTGTTCTTATTACATTAGTAGTTTAACATTGAGCAGACTGCAGTTTTCTAACTTAAGAAGATAAGATTAAGGGAATTTGTGTTTAACATTACTAGATTAGTGGATTAGCAGTTTTAAACTTAACACTCGAGATGTGTTAAGTTTAGCTTAGACCAAATTAACAAAGTGCCTAAGTGAGCATTAGCAGATTACATGTAGGTACAACAACTACAATTGATTATGTGACCAGTTAATCGACATGTGACTAATCTAGCATATTGGGTTGTTCTGTGAACAACCAACACCAAACAAGGGTCATCGACTTACCTCAGCAGAGAGTAGAATGCAGTTGAAGCACCAGCTGATTGCCAAAACTCCCAAACAGCAAGCTACAGAAACAAAAGAGCAGGAAATGAAGGCATTAGCATTTGTGATTATGACAAACTAAGCAACAAGTCACGAAATGAAATAAAGTATACTAAACTTATTGTGAATTCGGGAAGGCTACTGCAGTTACAGCACCTGCTGCTGCCTACTTGATGAGACTCGCGAGCAACAAGCTGTCGAAAGCCAAAAGCAAAAAAGCAAGAAAGATTAAAGACCTTTTCTGTTTCTGGCAAACTAAGCAAGCACCACGGGAAAAAAATGAACGATGGGGCGGCCATTAAACTTACTGGAAGGCTTGTGTTTCTGGATTTAGGGTTCGAATTCTGGAAGGCACCAAATGTTGCCTCATTTGATGAGACTCGCGAGCAACAAGCTGCAAAAAGCCAAAACAAAGGAGCAAGAAAGATTAAAGCATTAGCGTTTCTGGAAAACTAACCAAGCACCATCATCATGAAAAAAATGAACTAAGTACTGGGAAATAAACTTACTTAGAAGATTGAATGAATGACGGAAAGGGGGATTTCAAGTTCTGGAACTGGAAGGCTTGCGTTTATGGATTTAGGGTTCGACTTTGATAAACTGCAGATGAACAAAACCATGCAATTAGTCACCTATTTATATACGTATAAGCACAACTGGATTAAGGAAAGAAAGAATCGAATACTTATCTCGATTTCTTGATCTAGGAAAGAAATCATCTGCATGCACGATTCTAGTGGTGTGTTTCGTCGATCGAGACATTTTCGATGACTGGGGGCTTAATTTAGGGAAGGATCTAGGGTTATTGATGCTGGTATCGTCGATTTTGGTGGGAAATCAGTAGAGGAAGGAGTAGATTTCGTCGGAATCGAAGGGATTTACAGAGAAATCGTCGATTGGATGAGTTAGGGTTGAGAGGAAATCGGGAGAGGGAATCGGCGACTGCGTGGTGAAAATGGGTTCTGAAGACCCTAACCCTAAAATGTTGGATTATATATGATGGGCAAGCGGCGTCGTTTTACTTACGGGCCGGGTACGGTGCGGGGATGACGAAATCCACACCCAGCCCGTCACCGTCTCCTGCGGGCCGCGGTTAGGCCCGAAACCGCCACACAACCCGGCCTTGCGGGTTTCGACCCAGTACACGCGGGCGGGCCCCGGCGAATGCCCAAGGCCCGCGGGCCCATTGCCATGCCTAAACTATACAGTATATAGGGGTGGAAACTGGAAATTGGGTTTGGGCAATTTTGCGGTTAATCACAATTATAAATATAGAATTACACTATTATCCACAATTCACACCACTCCTCACTATGGGTTGGTGCGAGTTAGATGAGGATACCCACAAAAGTTTCATTATTGAATATAGTAATGTGGTAATTAAATATTGGGATAAATGTCACATTTGGTCACTAGGATTACTAAATCGTGTCATGTTTAGTCACTAGAAAAAATTAATATCAATTTTGGTCAATCAAATTACTGAAACATGTCACATTTACTCACTCTCTGTTAGTCTCCGTCCAACTCTGTTTACAAAGTCTGTTATGTGCTGACATAGCTAACTTGAGCGCCTAGCCAGCGCCATTTTGGGCCAGAAATGGTTAAACTCGACCCGTCACGTCGCTAAACCCTCCATGTCATACATCCAACCCAACCAATGAACCAAACCCGACCCACTTAACAAAAGCAAACCTGCCATCTCTTTCCTCCATCCTCATTTCCCAATTCCCTTCCTCATGTGCACAGACAACGCGTTCTTTCACTGTAGTTTTCGGACCGTCGAACCCTACCCACTCGTCTGCGAGCCCTACCGCGTGCCATTCCTCCTCAACCTCTCCTGCGCCGCCGGCTTCGACTGAGTCTCCGGCGAGCTGTACGCCATCTCCGCCCAGGGACTCGTCCGCCTGGAAGAGCTCTAGGGTATGGCACGCGGTCACTACGAGCCGTTGCCGATCACAGTGGTACCCATTGACGGGGGAGGAGGAGAGGAAACCATCATTTATGTGGAGGCGTATTTCGGCATATGATAGTACACAACATCAATGAACAGTTCTGGTAATCCATCCGGGGTGATCATCATAGATACCCGCCGCTGCCCCCTGTGCCAACAACTCAAGTGACTCGTGCTAAACCCAACCCGCCACCGTCGCATAACAGAAAGCAAAACAAGGTTGTAGGGGACCAACCTCACGTGCCCGAGATCAAGCCGCTAGAGACGTGGCGCGTGCCTGCTCCTTTGGAGGTGTGCCGAAATGAAGGGTCAAGTACTTAGTACGATCCCCGCTCGAGTTTTCACTACGAGCCTCGACCGAGTACTTTCTACGACCAGTTATTCAGTATGATCCCCGACCAAGTTTCCCCTACGATCCAAGTACTCAATACGATCCTCGGCCTGATTTCCACTACGAGCTCTGACCGAGTACACCACCGACCAGGGTACTTACTACGATCCCCGACCGAGTTTTCAGTACCATCCCCGACCGCGTACTTTCAACGCCACCTCCTCGGCTACTTGGAATGATGGTTCCTCCTCATCTTCCTAACAAGACTTCCAGTCGTTGCACCAACCTCAACATCAATGGCAGAACACTCCCCACCTTCTGAGCGCGAGGGGATTCGTCACCACACGGAGGAGCCACCTAGCACGGCCCAACGGCGACATAGTACGGACCACCGCCAAACTTTAGCGAAACGACCTTTGCCACCGCCTCCGGCCACGATTACACCCGCCGGACCCGTCTCCCATCGAACAAGGAGGCAGAGGGCGAATCGTCGAGCTACACTAATGCATGAGTGTGTCTTCCTGTTTTGAGTTGTGATTATTTAAGTGGATCAAGTTGTATTTATTTCAAGTTAATGTTGATGGACTCAAGTTATATTTTAGTTGATTTATGGAGTGTGTTTATGTGAGTGATATGTTGGCTAAACAAGTTGGACTAATGCGACAAAATGTGATTTATTTTGCAAAACTACAATGACTCGTACCTCACATAAAAGCCAACTACATAACCACATAAATGAATACAAACTACGAACTATATAAAAATCCATGCGCCGTTATCCGAGTCACGACGTCGGGCCCTGGGTTTTGAGGATGGAACAGGACATTTTCGTTTGTCATGCCCTAAAACTTTGTAGATGGAACAACGCATAGGCGCTCGTAGTAGTCTTCCACTTTGATCCATCTCGTTTGGAATCCTCTTTACTAGCGGCCGACCTGCTTCACGCACTTAGTATGATTGGTGGAATGACAACCTTTCCTTCATACACGGGCCAGCAGGCTTCATCAGGCAAAGCACGAAAACTCCTGGCATAAGAGTTTTTTTGTGAGTCGATGTTGAAGAACGGACTAACGAAGTGACGAGGGTCTTTGCTCTTGTGTTTGATTACAGCCATTGCAGGAGAACAAAGGAAACCTCTCCCCTAATACTTATAACAAGAGCACTCCCCTTTTTTTGACCGGAAGTTGATCTTGACTTAATGACGATGACCCCCACGTCTCTCATCCTCCTAGTGACTGGTCTCGACTGTGTGCCGAGAGCTCTTCCGATTGTCTTTTTCCATTATTTCTAAGACTTTATCGGAGTGTACCTTACCCTGTGCCTCCCTCTTTGCAGCCCAGTGGAGGCGATTGACAAACCATTGGTTCTTTTTCCCGTATGTCATCTCAACAATGGCAGAGATTGGCAATGCACGAACACCCTTGTAGACGTTGCTTATACTTTCACTTGAGTTCGTTGTGGCGATACCCCACTTGCTACCTCCGTCCTTATGAAAAGTCCACATGGTTAGGTCATGTTGATCCAACCACTGCGCACCTTCAGGGCATAGCTCATGGATATTCTGCATCTTCTCTTTGAATTTCTTCTGTTGGTAGGCAACAACTGATGAATACACAAACAAAAGTGTAAGCAAAAATGATACATCTATTGGTTGTTTTCCATTATTTAAATAAGTAAAAGTACACTCGTTAGACTTTTAGGAGAAGTATACATCTCCTTAGAAACACAACTTTTTTTATAGAAAAGGGCAATCCGAGGATCGCTTAGAACCCGATTTTCCCAGGAAATGGGAGGATCATGATGATCGCTTAAGACCCCATTTCCTTATACATGCATATCTTTGTAAAGAGTCTAAATAAGTGGCACATTGTATTCGAAAGCATATTTTCGCAGTTAACACAATTAATTAACCAATATGATAGAACGCTTACCGGTCCACCATAGACTATCAGAAAGCTTCCTCCGCTTGAAATCATGGTTCCAATAGCTCTTGAAGTGTCATATGCACCAGCGATGTGACCACTTCCAGGCTGGATCCAAACCTAAGATGGCAGCCCTGATCCCGGCGTGGCGATCATAGATGATTGTTAAGTTTGTCCTCCTAGTGACGTGGATTTGAATTTGTCGGAAAAATCATCCATAGCTTTCGGTATTCTCTCCCTCAACAATGGCAAATGGTAGAGGAAAGACACATCTATTTGCATCTGCTCCCTTGGCAATGTGTAGAGTTCCCTTGTACTTGTCGGTAAGGAATGTTCCATCGACTTGCATCATAGGGACACAAAAGGGAAAACCATCAATAGATGGCTTGAATGACAAAAAAAACGTTTGAAATGGAGTTTGTTACCGGGCTCCGACGGCTGAATTTCTTCATCTTGGTTGCGGGGTGAGAAAACAATGTCAGGGTTAGACGCCTCCAAAGCCAAAATCAATATAGGAAGGAATGCATATGATTCTTCGCGGTCACCAAAAAGGCAGCCATTGCTTTATGCTTTCCATGCCACGCCTTCTTATAGTTAATAATATATCCATAATGAATAGAAATGTCCGCGATGATGGCTTTGACCTTCAGGTTAGGCTATTCTTCAATTAGATGCTTGATAACTGCGACAATCACCCTGGATTTCAACTGTCGATGGCTCTGGGATGTTATGGATGACACACATATGTGAGTGTTCACCGCACGGGATATGATCCAATGGCCGACTCGCTTGTTCTTGATGGCTCGGACCCTAGTCTTGCATCCCTCGTGTTTATTTTGGCATTTAACTATGAGTCTCTTAGTGTCGAAGTGAGTTGTGTGCCATTCGAAACTCTGAGTCATCGCTTCTGTGGCAATAGCGTGTCTCACCTCATTTTTCGTAGCAAATTGTTGGCCCTTCATAAACCCAGTCAGTTGACCCCATACTTGAACCTCTGGCGGCTCCATGTCGGCATCAACATACCAATTTTCATTTGAAATGTGATTGTAGTACGGGATAGGTACATGGTCATGAGACACCTCATCATCATCTGCGTCTAAATCAGGGTCTGAATCATTAGCACCTTCAAGAGTGTCGATGATGTTTGCACTAACATCACCTTCCTCCTCCTCATCCTCAGGGTCACTAAATGGACACGGCAGGCATCTTCCATCTGATTCGGATCATGAAAGGCACCTTCATCAGCTATGTAATGGTAGTTGTGATAACTACCGCTGCCTTGGTGGAAGTTGTACTCGGGTTGGTACTATCATGGTACCCTTGGGCTTCTTCTTCATATGATGGGAAGGATTTTTTATGACCTCCACCTCCTTCCTAGTACTCATGGTAGGTACGAGGATCATAGTAACCTTGGTAGGGATGATCTTTGTATAATCCACCTCCACTGTGGATACAAGATGTTTGGCCATCTCTAGAATTACCTCCACCGACTTCGACCGCCTCGATATAAACAAACATCTCTACTTGATTTTTTTTATTGGCGATCAAAAATTCGACCATGGCATCTACGTCCTCCTGAGTGGTTATGAGAAATTCCTCATACCACAACGACCCGCCATGTTTGTTTGGATATCGATACACCATACGATCAACTCTTCTCGTGCCATCCATGCCAGTAACCTCAGTACATATTTGACGGAGCTCTTCAAGGTTCGGTTTTGTAGCGACCTTGACTTTATGAAAATTACCACCGACGTAACGTATCCCCTTTCCGGTCTCTTCCATATAGCCATTGGACCGTAACCCAAGTGTGAACTTTTGAATGATATCTGCAATAAAGTTGTAACTAAATTAATACCATCAAAATCACAAATCACAGTAAACAGTGCAACAAGACAAACTTATGAAGTAACATTAATCGCAAAAACTAAAAAAAGTAAGGTCCAGAACATAAATATGAAGAAGAATAATGAGAGAGGTGAGGAGCTGAGGTTATCAAAGCTGCCTTTTATAGGCAAATTTTTTACTGAAAATCGCAGGGGGCGGTTTTAGTCTACCATGCATACAACCCCACCCCCTGCATGCCGACATGTCGGATGTTGGGGGAATTGGGATGGCACACAAACCGCTGGGGGAGGGAGCGGTTTGTGTGTCGACAATACAAACCTCATCCTCGAAGAGCGGTTTATATTGTCGACATAGAACCGCTCCTTGAAGAGGCGGTTTGTTTGTCGGGACACCAATGAATCGCACCTCCAAGTGGTGGTTTGTATAAATAATACAAAACGTCTCCTCCCCATGCGTTTCTCCCATGAACCGCCACCTTAGCAAGCGGTTCATATGCAAACCGCCTCCTTGGGTGGCGGTTTTGAAATTATGGTGGTAGTTTTGGAATTTTTTCGGTTTAGATGGTATATTTGTAATTTTTTTAACAGTGGTAGTTTTGGATTTTTCCCCATAATAATGAGATTCGGCATGCTGATTAGTTGATCGGATGACGACCGACCCAGAGATTGTTATACTACAGAGCATTCTGACCGTCGGGCATCAAAGGGAGACAAAAGGTCAAGCGAGTGGAGCCAACCCAACCCGTCTGACCCGACGAATCATTCAGGGTTTGGGTCAAGTGCCAGGTTTTGGACAGGATGGTTCTCATTGCCCATTGGGGCAAAACCGAACACAATTAAACCAATAGGCCATGCTTCACGTCCCTTTCACCTTCGTTCTCCCCTCTTGTTTTCTCAACCTTCGAACAAATCGAGACAATTTTTCAACAGAGAATTTCGTTGGGTCTCATTTTTGTCTCGTTTCCATTCCAAGTATTCTATATCCGAATCTCATCAATGTAAACGAAAGAACAACAAAAAGATCGAAACTTTTTCCTTTGTGGTAGGCAAAATTTCAAACCTTCCACACCCACTCCCCCTCCTTCCCCGCATCCTCATGACCTCCTCTGCTTTTCTGCAACTCTCCCTCTCTCTCCCCCTGTCTCTTAATCGAAGCATGGTCTGGATCTAACACTCCCTCCGCCCAACACCACCTTCCCACTTCGTAAGAGTTCCCTCTTCTCATTTTCTTCTCGCCCTCTTTCTGCTAAGTTATTCGTTCAATTTCTGAACCCCCTTTGAGAGTAGCTCAGTTTGATGATTAATCATTTTTTTCCTGGAACCAAACAATAAGAATGAATACCCATTCTTGAAAACACTATCTCTGTGGGAATTGGCAACGATGAACTGCTATATAACTTGGGTGATGATATCATTTGAATCTTTTCCCACACCACTGAATTTGTCGTATGCCTATACGCAGCTTTTGATCAGAGACGCGGATTATGTCAAAGTTCGATTCTTTTCTTACCACTGGAACCTTATCATGAAAAACATCCACCTGGTTGTGTCAGATTGTGACAATTTTGGTTCATATTCACATTTCATTCTCTCATCTTCTTTTGCCATTTGAATCTTTATGCTCTGGCCATTGCTTGTGAGAGCAATTCCCATTTTATTCATCATCGAGACAAGCTTCTGTAATTTTATTTCAGGATGGCGAAAAAAGGGAACACAGGGGACCCGAGAACAAGGAGCTCCATCTCAGTCTTCATCGACCATCGTGGTCGGTTTATGTTTCTTCTTCTACATCTTGGGCGCATGGAAACGAAGCGGGTTTGGTAAAGGCGACGCTCAAGTGGTCACCAAACAAACGGACTGTAGCATCCTCACCGATCTGACTTATAAGACCAGCGGCGATGCCGATGTGTCTGCACTCGATGTCAAAGAGATTCCGAGAAGCTCCATTGTCTTATCCTTGCGCCAAAGAGATATGCCACCCCTTTCCCGTGGGCCAAGAGTCGTGACTATGTGCCCTATGCTAATGCACCTCATAAGAGCTTGACAGTTGAGAAAGCTATCCAGAACTGGATTATATATGAAGGGAATGTGTTTAGGTTTCCAGGTGATGGAACCCAGGAACCCCTGAGGAGCGGATGCTTATATCGATCAGCTTGCCAAGGCGATCCCCATTGATAATGGGATGGTTAGAACTGCCTTGGATACTAGCTGTGGGGTAATCGATATAAGCTCTAACTGTTTTGATCAGAAAAATGCTTTTCCCTCCTGATTTTGTACCTCAGGGGCTAATTGGAGCTGCATTTTGGTGAATTTAGGTTGTTAGTTTGGGTGCATACCTTTTCAAAAAGAATGTTCTTACCATGTCACTTGCACCGAGAGACTCGCATGAAGCGCAAGTTCAGTTTGCACGGGAAAGAGGCGTTCCAGCTGTCATTGGGGATGTTGGAACAATAAAGCTCCTCTATCCTTCTGGAGCATTTGACATCACATGGCCCACTGTTCTCGTTGCTTGATTCCTTGGGGTGCTAATGGTAAGATTGTGATGATTCTCCTTAGTGGAAAACATAATCAAGTATATTGATTGTAGGAATTTGATAAAGAAATGGTTGGCCAACTGCAACAATGCATATCTTCACATGCAGTGTGTTTCACAGGTTTTATTACCACTTTTGAGTATCTAGGAGGCAGTTGACAACAAGAATTGTTTTTTTGGTTTTGGTTCAGATGGAATGTACATGATGGAAGTTGATCGTGTTCTAAGACCAGGTGGTTACTGGCTACTTTCTGATCCTCCCATCAACTAGAGGACTTATTATGAAGCATGAAAGAGAACTAAAGAGGACCTTGAAGCATAACAAAACAAGATTGAAGAAATCACCCGACTTCTTTGTTGGGAGAAGAATGATGAGTTGGGTGATATTGGTATTTGGCTAGAAAAGTCTAGACTCTGGATCTTGCACAGAGCAACGCACCATGTGTGAATCCTCAGATCCCGACGATGTCTGGTGAGTCATATTGTCAATTCTCCAATGTTCCAAAGACCTATGTATATAACATTAAGTGTTCCTAATGGCTAATGGCTTCCTTTGCTTCCTGCTTTAGGTACAAGAAAATGGAGCCATGTGTAACTCCATCTTCAAAGTTTGATGCGTCCGAGTGGAAGCCATTTCCTGATAGACTTAAAGTCGTGCCTTTCAGAGTATCTAGTGGGGCTATTTCTGGAGTCTCTCCACAGGAATACCTGGAAGATAGTCGGGCATGGAAGAAGCATGTAAATGCTTATAAGAGGATAAACAAAATCCTAGACACGGGGAGGTATCGCAACATTATGGACATGAATGCTGGCATGGGAGGTTTCACTGCAGCCCTTGAATCTTCTAAAATGTGGGTTATGAACGTTGTGCCTACCATTGCCGAGAAGAACACCTTGGGTGTTGTATTCGAGCGTGCTTTTATTGGCATTTATCATGATTGGTAACTACTATTGAAAAACTTTCCCCTTCTGTTATTAAGTGGTATTGTGACTTAATGTTGTTCAATAAAAGAATTTCACTTCTGCTGAGCATCATACTTGGGCCTAGAAGAGTTAGGCAGTGAAGGAACACAACCACTAGTGGAAGTTGTATTCTTTACTAAAATGCGATCAAATACATTAATTGTTTTATTGAAATGGTTTCTTAGCTTGGATTTGGTGGATCTCACATTCATCTGTTCTTTTCAATGCTTTAAATTATCATCTTATTCTGCTCCTTGTTATTAGGTGTGAAGCTTTCTCTACATACCCAAGGACGTATGATCTCATTCACGCAAATGGCCTCTTCAGCTTGTACAAGGACAAGTGAGTGATTGCCCTAGTATTGGTTAATCAAGGAAGTATTTTTTTTCACGATTCCTTACATTCATAACGATGGGCCAAAAAGATGAGATGCTCCATTTCAAATTACAAAGGGAATAATTGATAACATACAGACTATCTTGTTCCCTTATTTGCAGGCGCAATATGGAAGACATTCTACTGTAGATGGATAGGATATTAAGGCCAGAAGGAACAATGATATTCAGAGATCATGTGGATGTTCTTGTCAAAGTGAAGAAAACTGTTTCAGGAATGAGATGGAATACGAAAATGGTAGACCACGAAGATGGCCCTCTTGTTCCAGAGAAGGTGATGTTCGTCGTCAGACAGTATTGGGTTGCAGGACAACAGAATGTGACTAAAACTAATTAGAAGAGTTAGAGCTTAGAGGCAGCATTCAAACCCACCCATTTTTTCTCCCTCATAACGAAATGCTACTCTCTTGGTCTCAAGGCAATCGGACACATTCATCTTATCAACCATTCTAGTCCGATTAAGAAAAAGCCAAGATTCTGCTCTTATGCAGTGCCATTTCATTTCATTTTGCAGTGGATAGAAAGAACATAGGTAAATTACTATCAATCTTCTTGCAAAGTTTTCTTCTTTCTTTTGATCCCCATTCGCCATCATTCTATTAGAATCACCTGAGATGTAGTTTGAAAGTGGTGATATTGTCTTCTATATGTCTTTGCTCTTGAACGGTAAAAAAAGCTTCCACTTTTCTTCTTGTTTATTATTACTAACTCATTGCCTCAGTTTTGCATTCATTATTATCAGCAAATCTCCTTTTCTCTCTCTCTCTCTCTCTCTCTCTCTCTCTCTCTCTCTCTCTCTCGGCTGTGCAACTTACGTTAGTTACTAGAATGTTCCTTAGACTGTCAAGATGGGTCGTGAATTCCATTCCCATGCTTCTCGTGACTCAAATAGCCAACACTTGGCTAAATGAAAGGAGGGGGGTTTCCTTCCTTTTTCAAGCTGGATGCCTTACCTATTTCCCTTCTGCATGCATTGTGGGGATACTTTCCCAACACAGGTGGCTCATGTTTGGTTGCTGTGTCTTGTATGACAGCCTGCTAGGGATAGGGGATGTCTCATTGGTTTGGACTTTGGAGGCAAAGGGGTCAATATATTGTGGTCATGCTATCATACTTTTTGTGGCATCCCTACAACGAATTAGTATCCCAGAAGCAAACTGAGGCCACCATTTTATGATGTCTTCATTTATGGTGTACTACCCTACTCCTTATCACAGAGGAGCCCCATGTTCCATAAAGGTTGCTGATGACTCGATATTTGCACATGTTTTCCCCTGTATTTCTTGATCGTTTGAGCTTTAATTATCGCGTCTTTGGCCTATTTTACGCTAGGTTGTGTTCTTTATCACATTTCAGGTCCTAGCACATAAAGTGAAGCATAGGCGCAAGTTTCAAGTCAATCAGAGATCAATTGGCGATTAGGGAGAAGAAACTCGGGCATGACCTGAAGAAGAATGAACTTATACCTCACTTTATGACAAAGAATCATGCAAGCTTGTCATGAAAAGAAAGAGGACGAGACTACGAGCATCTGGGATCAAACGGCGACTGATTCAGAGTCCGGACTAGGGAGAAACGAAGCATTGAATATAGGGGAACAGGTTTGGCAGCAAAAACACGGGCGCGCCTAAATCAAAACACGGCCGTGCCCATATTTAGGCACGACCATGTTTTGGCCGACGCGCGCGGGCGTGTTTTTAACACGGGGCAAAACACGGGTGGGCAAAAGCAAAACACGGCCGTGTCCGTGACAGTGTTTTGCCCAGAATCGGGTTTTTTAACCCAAATTCGAGCCAAAGGAGAGGGAGAGCTGGGTTTTGGATCCCAAACACCCAAGGGACGAACCAAAGAGAGAGAAGGCGATTTGAGGGAATTCTAAGAGTGGAATTGGAGGATTTCTTTGCCATGGAAGCTCGAGGAACAAGCCCGGACTTGAAGACTGATCATCTGAAGATTCTTACTGCAGTCTCTCTCTTCTCTATGGAGTAACTTCCCTTCACTTAGGTTTTGAGGAACCCTAGCTATGTTTGTTTGATTGGATGATTGTATGAGTACTCTTAATTGATAATCTTGAGTTCATATTCAATCTATGCATGTTTTCATGATTCAATTCTGCTTTAGTCGAGATTTTTTATTATGCTTTGATCCTATGAGAGCGAATACCTAATTAGGTCAATAGAGCACCATAGATTGATATTATTGGATCGATTGCTTTAGTCGAGGGTTGATTCAATGCTTTGTATCGATTGAGTACCTCATTCAATAGAGGGAATCTAGTTCAGAACGCCTTGATCGGTTGTTCTAGAGAAGGATACGTCCCTCTAGGCCATTGACTCAAGAGGGCCTTGTTCCTTTAGTCGAGACTCAAGGTCTAGTCAAGGATTCTCCGCATTGTGAATGAAAGTGAAACAGGTTAGAGATCATCAATCATTAATCATGGATCCTCATGGCTTCTCCACTCATTGGGGGTATCCACCACCATCCGAGTGGTATTACCCCGAGACTCCCTGGAGCAATCAAGGAGGAGAAGACTATGGATTCGGGTTCCAGTACCAACCCCCTTACTATAGAGAACAACCGGACCCCTGGGCATATCAAGAACAACCTCATTATCAAGAAAAATTTCTCCCACAACCAGAAGGGCCATCGGCGCTGGAGTTACCCATGGCGGCCTTCACGGGCCATTCTGCAGAGCCATGCTACACTCCACAGCCAGATCCAAACTATGAATTGAGGCTTCTCATGGAGCAGTTTGCTCGAGATTGTGAGAGATCATGCTCCAGGATGGATCATTGTGTCCAGGCCTATCGTGAAACAGAGGAGATTCTCCTGAGCCTTAAGAAGAGCGCCGATGATCTTGAGCGATCTTTCGCACAAGCTGCTCCAGATCACCCTTCTGCTACCATACAAGAAGAGGAGGAGGAAGAAGAAGGCTACAAGGACAGTGGAGCACACTGAAGTTGTCACGGAGAGCTCCCGTGATGATCATGATCAGGAATGTCATATCATAGCCGACCACACCTTCCCACATCCCAAACTGAGCTTTGAAGAGGCGGGCATGAGTGAGGAGATGCAAGAAGATCTCATGAAAGAAATTGCTTGGCAACTTGCTCTCCAATCCGTGCTAGAAGAAGAAGAGCAAGAAAGGGTGCAGAAAGAAGTTGTGGAGGATGACGAAAGTGAAGCAGGAGGAGTTCTTGATCATTTCCCAGGGGTGATACCACATGAACAAGGAAGGGAGGTTGAAGAAGCAATTGGCGTCCAGGCTGAGGACGAAGTTGAGGTGGAAGAGGCTTGCACCGGCCATGAGTTACATGTGATATCTCCACCAAACTTCGAGGAATTGCTTAGCAAGGACCCATTTGCAGTGTCTCTTTGCCAGACCAAGGCCACATCGACATCGGTCCCTCTTGGTGGACGCGATGGTGGCCAATCGATGCTGTCATATCTGGTTTGGGGCAATGAGACGAGAGAAGAGAAGAAGAGGTCTCGAGGGTGGAGACTTCATCTGCATCAAGTGCACGAGCTTCCATCACCTCATACACATGCTCGTGACTTGAGAATCCAACTCATTGACGAGAACCTCAACTTCAAGGAGGTTTTGGGGCGGACCGAAACTTAGGAGCTACCGTCCGGCTCACGACGTGAAAGAAGCGCTTGTTGGGAGGCAACCCAACCAGTCGGTTTGCATTTCTTTCTCTTTTTCTCCTCGGTTGAGTCAGTTTTGTTATTTGATTTTAGAGTCAATAACTCAACCTTTGTGATTTTGTGTGGTGTTTGTGTTCGACTACTCTCTCTCCTGGAATGCACCGCCTGCCCGTCCACCATCATTCACCCTTGATCTGGTAACTTCGTTCTACCCTCCTTATCTTTCCTCCATTGAGGACAATGTCATGCTTAAGTGTGGGGGGATGTTCGATTATGTATGCGGGTGAATGTTTGGCTGTTTGTGTGCTTGGAGCCTAGTCCACTATCCAAATTTCGATTTCGATTTGAGGGCTCCAAGTACGTGTTTCCTTGCAAATTGCCTGCTCAGTATGCTTTGAATTGACAGTCTCTATAGTAATGTGCAACCTAGGGAGGTAGTGTAGCACTATGGAGGATGTTGAAGTATAAGATTTTTTCTATCTAGCTCTCTGCTGTGCCAGTTGATTTTGTGAATTAGTGGAGCTAAGACCGTTGAACTCATGTGGTAATGGTGACTCCGTTGGAATTGTGTTATGGACTCGTGTATCGAACAGGGTGCTCATGGAAAATGAAAAGCAGTTGGTCCTCCATGTCGAAATCATCGAAATCTTGAACATGGGGTAAGCCCAACGTGTGCGGCACCGTTCATTGCACCAAATCGGGTTTTGGAAGAGATTTTAGTGATCCTTAGTGGGGTACTCCTACAAGGTGAAGCTAAGCTGTCTCTAGTACAAGTAAAACTTCCACCCGTTGAACGGTTTGCCTGCTTAAGGATGTGTTTTTAAGGGCACGGATAGAGCTTTTGACCCCCTTAATTTCATTGACCCTCCACACGAGTTGAGGAAAAGGAGTTAAAAGAAGTACTCTGGCGAGCGCCAGATGTACAGAAATTGCTCTTGCTTGACTAATAAGGGTCGACCGTGCAAAAGACTGCAGTTGGAATCCCCGCCAAGTGAATGAAAAAGAAAAAAAAAGTAAAATGAAAGTGAAAAAGGGGTTCCAACGGTGAAATGAAGTGAAAGAGCACCCCGGTACAACGAGTCCTTGGTTGTGAATGGTGCGAGTCCCTTTATCCATGAACTGACTGTCTTACTTCTTCTCATGATCCTGGCTTGAGTCTAGTACTCGCATTGAGAAAAGATAGGGGACGTCTTAGAAGACCAGTTGACCTCGTAAGCTGCTTTATGATCTAGAAAGTCCTCTACCGACGATCGGGGTTGTTTGTTGCTATAGAGGTCTGGAGAGCTGCATTGGTTTGAGTTAGGTTTGCTTGGGGACAAGCAAACGGTTAAGTGTGGGGGGATTTGATGACTCGATATTTGCACATGTTTTCCCCTGTGTTTCTTGATCGTTGAGCTTTAATTATCGCGTCTTTGGCCTATTTTACGCTAGGTTGTGTTCCTTTGTCACATTTCAAGTCCTAGCACATAAAGTGAAGCATAGGCGCAAGTTTCAAGTCAATCAGAGATCAATTGGCGATTCGGGAGAAGAAACTCGGGCATGACCTGAAGAAGAATGGATTTCTACCTCACTTTATGGACAAAGAATCATGCAAGCTTGTCATGAAAAGAAAGAGGACGAGACTACGAGCGTCTGGGATCAAACGGCGACTGATTCGGAGTCCGGACGAGGGAGAAACGAAGCATTGAATATAGGGGAACAGGTTCGGCAGTAAAAACACGGGCGCGCCTAAATCAAAACACGGCCGTGCCCATATTTAGGCACGACCGTGTTTTGGCCGACGCGCGCGGGCGTGTTTTTAACACGGGGCAAAACACGGGGGGCAAAAGCAAACACGGCCGTGCCCGCGACGTGTTTTGCCCAGAATCGGGTTTTTTAACCCAAATTCGAGCCAAAGGAGAGGGAGAGCTGGGTTTTGGATCCCAAACACCCAAGGGACGAACCAAAGAGAGGGCGATTTGAGGGCATTCTAAGAGTGGAATTGGAGGATTTCTTGCCTTGGAAGCTCGAGGAACAAGCCCGGACTTGAAGACTGATCATCTGAAGATTCTTACTGCAGTCTCTCTCTTCTCTATGGAGTAACTTCCCTTCACTTAGGTTTTGAGGAACCCTAGCTATGTTTGTTTGATTGGATGATTGTATGAGTACTCTACTTGATAATCTTGAGTTCATATTCAATCTATGCATGTTTTCATGATTCAATTCTGCTTTAGTCGAGATTTTGATTCTGCTTTGATCCTATGAGAGCGAATACCTGATTAGGTCAATAGAGCACCATAGATTGATAGTATTGGATCGATTGCTTTAGTCGAGGGTTGATTCAATGCTTTGTATCGATTGAGAACCTCATTCGATAGAGGGAATCTAGTTCAGAACGCCTTGATCGGTTGTTCTAGAGAAGGATACGTCCCTCTAGGCAATTGACTCAAGAGGGCCTTGTTCCTTTAGTCGAGACTCAAGGTCTAGTCAAGGATTCTCCGCATTGTGAATGAAAGTGAAACAGGTTAGAGATCATCAATCATTAATCTGGCTAGTGGCTAGGGGGAATCATACCTAAGTGAGTTCCCAACCTGTAATTAGATTAACTTTAACTGTAGTTTGCTAGAGTAGTTTTAGTTCTTTCATCTTAATCTGGTTTGCTAGATAATGAACTGAAGCTGAGTAATAGTAACTCTAGAGACCCGTGGATTCGATATTTATTACTTGAGCCACTATACTGCAGTCCCTTTCATTGGTTACACTTGGCCATTGTTAGGAGTTGTGTCATAGCGAGTCAGTTGCACATTCCTCTGGCAAAGGGAAGAAGATCGTCAAATGGGAATGGTGGTGGAATCCTGAGCTGCAAGATTCTCAAGGGTGTGGAGGTTGTTGAGACTATTGGTGTGCACAAGGAGAAACTACGCTCTGCCTCGCATACAACTTCCAAGCAAAAATTTCCAGGAAGCTGAAACAGGGGGCTTTACTTTGCTTTAAAAAATGCAAGATGGTCTTTCGCCGGTTATTATTTTTCTTATAAACTATCACGAAGGCTGGAATTTGGAAGTGTGTTTTCATTCTCAGTTAAAACTTAAAAAGAAGAGTAAATACAATATATTAATTAAATCTTTCATTTTAAATAAGACCAGATATGCATGCTTGTTGTGTTTTGCGTAAAGCGAGACATGTAAAATGTTATATGTTATATGTGATTGTAAGAGAGAATCAATTAATTAATGTGGTTCTCTTGTTCTATCGATAATGATTTAAAAATGGAAAATAGATCGTTGAAACATACATGATTGAAATACGTGTGACCCGAATATGTGTGGTTTTCTTGTTCTATCAATAAATATTGGCTAGCTCGCTTGCGCTTCACAGTGAGTTGAAAGGAACGTTGTAACTGTGTTGTATGAAATATTTAACAAAATATAATTCATCAGGCAATTACAAAAGCAGCAAGAAAAATCATAAAGATGTCACTCTGACCAATGAGGCTATGGCTCAGAGGAGGACAATTTACACACTATAGATGAAGAAGTATTTGTTTGATGTGGAGTTACAACTATTAATTAAAGAATTTACCAATTGATTATGCGTCTATTTTAGTCCAACAAACAAAAAGATAAACATAGAGTTTACCTTGGATTGTCAACTAAGATAAAAAAAATATAATAAATAAAAAAAACTCAAAGAAAAAAGACGGAAGAACCTATTATTTAGTTTCGTTGGTTCCAAGGCTACTTCCATTCTTCTCGATTGGGAGAGAGATTTTTATTGTTAACATCATATTTGACATCGAGTGGGAGAGATGATTAAAAATGCAAAATCAAATGCGAAGCTGTTTGACATCCAGCCAATTGTTAACTTTCTATCCAGCCAACTGTCAGTTAACTCTGACGTGGCACATTTATTGTTGACATGGAAAATTTTAGTGACATGGGGAAGAAAATGTTTTACATGGATAAATTAGAAATCCAAATCAGAAAATAAAGGAACCAGCCTCTATTCTGAATGTAACCTTAACCCCCATTCTCTTCCCCCCACTGCCTCATCGCTCTTTCGGCACCACTGCTACCTTTGACAACCACAGCCTCAACCATCATTCCTCCACCATCTTTGAGGGCCTGCATTTCCCTCTTGCTCAGATTCTCATGGATTTCCCCACCATATTCAGCAAGCCACTAATGACCCAATTGCACCCTTCTCTTCATCGGCTTGTTTTGCATCTACCCCCTACAAGTAGACCTTTTTGACCCACTGCCATGCCTCCGCCTCCTCCATTGCCTCTGCCTCGTCACTATTCCTCCCTTTCCAAATCACCCACCATTTTTCATTTCTCTTCATCCTCCTCTCCTCACCACTCGCTATTGATCCTCTCAATCGATTGAGAAAAGATTGGTCGCCGCCTGAGCCATTGATTTATCTGTACTAGGAAAAGATTCGTTAAGTTGTGAATTGAGAGGTCAGCAAGGATTGAGAAAACCTAGTTATGTTTGTTATGATAAGAGTTGTATGAACCCATATTCATGATTGATTAACATTATATACTCAATTGAGATGTTTATTCATAATTACATGAGTCTTGATCACATTCCTGCAATTGCAGCTTTGACCTAGAATGTTTATTCATGAAGCAACGCACCTTATATCGCAATCAAAGACTCGCTCGTCGGATGCCATGGTTTGGCTGGATAGACCACCCATGTGTTTAGTTAATCAACTACAGCTTGATAATGGGAATGGGTTAGGGTGATTACTTGTTTTTTAGTAATCACGGTGACAACCTCTTTATATACCATTTGATTAATTATTTTCCTTTCTTTTTTAATCTTACGGTCAATATTCTTTTAGGGTAATTTTGAAAATTAAAAAGTGACCACACCTGATTATTCTATATAATCTACCCAAATCCTAGTTCTATCCTCCCTCCTCTGTCATCCACCACCGCCTAGAACTTCTCTCCTCCTCGAGAAGTCTCCCTTTTCATCAAATCAACCGACATGGGTACGCCGGAGACATCCAGGGAGCCCTGTCCGGACCGCATCCTCGACGACATCGGCGGCGATTTCGGCATGGGCGCAGTCGGCGGCTCCGTCTTCCACTTCATCAAAGGAGTTTACAACTCCCCCGTCGGGACTCGCCTCACCGGCGGAACCCAGGCCATCCGGATGAACGCGCCTCGCGTCTGCGGCAGCTTCGCCGTCTGGGGCGGCCTCTTCTTGGCCTGGGTGGCGCTGGCGAGGGCGACCGTGCTGGAGACGAGGGCGAAGCTGATGCTGAGAGGCGGGGTTTTCGATGTTGGGGATGATTTGATCAAGAAGGCGATTTTCATTAGGGCTTCCATTTGTGGGGAGAATCATCCTGATACGGTTGCGGCGAGGGAGACGTTGAGTAAGCTTGGGAGGTTGATTGCGAAAGTTCAGACGACGGCCAGTGGTAATAATAATAATGCTTCTTCTCCGTCGTAGACGACGGCGGCGGCCAGAGGGTGTTTCGGTTGTGATGAAACGTTATGATAACAACATGATATTCATTCATTTTTGTTTGGTAGTGTGACACTTTAGATTGGTATTGGTTCATTACACGTGTATTAGTATTAGCAATGCTAGTCTGGTAGTTCTTCAAAGTCTAATGATATTGGTTCAAACCTCAATGTTCATAATTCTCTTCATATATGCAATGGTATAGGTTGTTTATATTGGTAGTTTTCGTGTAATGGTATAGATTTATTTCTACAATGGTATTGATTGTTTATATTGGTAGTTTTCGTGTAATGGTATAGATTTATTTATGCAATGATAGTTTTCGTGTAGTGGTTGTCTAATAGATTGGTACTGATTTCATGTTTTTTTTCCCAGAAAGATTGAGAAAAATATGGAAAGAAGATTTGGCTGGAGATCAAGGAAGTGAGAGAAAAAGAGAGAATTTTAATTAATAGATTTTTGTAACTACTTAAAATGTAATTTATTAATAAATTAATTAATATAATTTATTTTTCCATATCCAATTTACTCTTAGTAACCACGATTTTTGTAGTAATCACCGTAACCGCTCCTTGATAATGATAATGTAATCGGGGATCGGATCCAGCTTCTGTAATCGGCTCCCTAGAATTTCAGATTCACGTACTTTTCATTTTATCGGGGATCCGATCAGGCTTCTGTATAAATAGGCCTCTTTATAAACAAGGTAGAAACTTGAAAACATCCACAAATGGACCAGATTTGGGGACTCCACTTAGTAATTGCCGGCTCGCTCTCTCCGGAAATATCTAACCCGACACTTGACTAATATGATGTCCAACCGGCAACAGGTGGAACCGCCTATTAAAGTTACCAAAATACCCCGCCACAAACAACCTATGAAGTTTGAACGGACTGAAGTACCCCCCTATCGTACGTGTCGTTCACCATTGCCTCAACATTTCCGGACTAATGCCCTCGCTACCCGGCTGATAAAACCTCCCAAAACCCTAACCCCCTTTTCTTCCCCTTCTCTGCCTTCGCTTTGCACATCACCCTCGACGGGAGCAGAGAATAAACGGCCACTAGGGTTTTAGTAAATTGAGCAAAAGCCCGAGCGAGTAGAGAGGGGAGACTTACGCTTCAGGGGTTTCGTATTTCTCTTAGAGCGTAAGAAAAATGGTGGCTGACAAGGGGAAGAAGTTGAAGGTGGAGAAGAGCGGCGAGGAGGAGAATCACCATATCGATGAGGAGCTGGTTCTCTCCATCGAGAAGCTCCAGGAAATCCAAGATGAGCTTGAAAAGGTGCGGTATACGGTTGCTCAACATGTTTTTATATGGGTTCTTCATGTGTAAGGGTGTGTGTTCTTGAGTCTTCTTTCGGGTTGCATGGTTTTTGCGGATTTAATTATGGCCTCTTGGGGTGGAATGTCGAGAAATTGGTGAATTTTGAGATGAAATTTTTTACTTTTGAAGTTACCTGATGGAGCTGAGCTATACAATTCAGCTCGATGACAGAGTTATCACCGTCCTCTTGTCTATTTTAGGGTATTTTTAGTCTCAAAGGAGTAATCATTGCCCTCGTTGGCTTTGTGATTCGTTCGTGTTTCTCTCTTTTCGTTTGTTTTTGGAATTATGAAGTATTGAAGTTGCTGACGGCACATAAATTATTTTTGTTTTTGGCTGTAAAATAGGGCCATTCTCATATAGGTTTTGCCTTTCACATTGGCAAAGCTGTGAAATTGGACCTCCGAAATGATGCATTGTATTTGTGTATTCCGCTCGTTGGTTTGTCTTGTAGACAAACCCAGTGTTCCAGTTTTTTTTTTTGTGCTGTTCGTTTATTTAGTTAGACCTGCTTGTTTGCTTGAATTTAATATGGAAATATCTATCTCAAAAGACTGGAGCCACTTTAATATGTGACCTGGTAGCAATGATTTCTGATGGTTTTGAAGCCAGAGTTCTCTTAGACCGGATGTCTTCTAACTTTTGAGGTTTAAGCTTGATTTTGTTCCTTGTTTGCCATTGCCCTTTCTGCTTGTTGATAATACTGGCTTCCCCTGCATTGCCCATGGTATAGTGTTAGCTGATGCACTGAAGTTTCATATGTCAATTTTCTAGGGTTTCGGATTTGAAAATTGTCGGTTTTGAATTCACATCTTCTCTTGTTGTCTCTCTCTAGATCAATGAAGAGGCAAGTGATAAGGTGTTGGAAGTTGAGCAGAAATACAACGAGGTTCGCAAGCCAGTCTATGACAAGCGAAATGATATCATCAAGTCCATTCCCGACTTCTGGTTGACAGCTGTGAGTATTTCTTGAAATTTCAGACTTCTTCGCATAGATGAATTTTAGCTGAAAATTTATTGAGAACTCGCTAATGGATTCACTCCTGGTAATGTGCAGTTTTTAAGCCATCCTGCACTTGGGAATCTTCTCAATGAGGAAGATCAAAAGGTGTGATGCCCTATCCTACTTGAACTGGATACCCAGTTGTCAATATTCCCTATCCTGCTTGATCTGGATACTTGGTTTTCACATCTATTTGACATTTTGAACTTCAATACGATACTTTTTAAGTGGTACTTCTGCAGTTGTATTTTACCTGTTCTGTTATTTATACCTGATAGGTATTTAAACATCTGACTTCTTTGGAAGTGGAAGACTTCAAAGATGTAAAATCAGGCTACTCCATCACATTTGTAAGTTTACTTTCTCCTTCTGTTTTAGTCTGTTCAACAGCTACTGTTTCCCTTGCGATAGCTACTTATGTGGTACCTTCTCACTGCAGAACTTTGAGTCCAATCCTTATTTTGAAGATACAAAGCTCACAAAGACTTTTACCTTCCTAGACGAAGGAACAACAGAAATTACTGCTACCCCAATCAAGTGGAAGGAAGGCATGGTGAGTTTATTGCTTTCATCTTTTGAAGTTTTGAGGTCCTGCTTTGCTCTTGCCTTAACGATGTGACATCAATTTGACTTGTGAAGGGCCTGCCTAATGGGGTTAGTCATGAGAAGAAAGGCAACAAGAGGCCTTTGGCCGAGGAGAGGTTTGTTTCCATATTCTCTATGTTTAGTTGAGCCTTAACCTTGAAGTAGAATGATCCGAGTGGTGAGAAAAATGACGTCATATTCCTTTTGAGTTGAGAGAAATGTGGTTGATCCCTATGCTCAATGTTCTGTTAAACAGAATCATTTGTAATCCCTGTGCAATATTCATCATTTGCCACAGTTATTGTCTCTTAAGTTGTTTATGAAAGCATAAAGGAGAGTTTCTTTATGTATTATGTTCAACAAGAAATCTGCTACTTCCCTATTATTGCATTGTTAAATGAACACTGTTATCTGGGTTTCAAGGTCAGTGCATGACTAATTTATTCTTTGAATGCAGTTTCTTTACCTGGTTTTCTAATACTCAACCAAAAGACATGATGGATGATATGCAAGATGAGGTACAGTTCATCTGTTTCATTTGCTTTTGCTGGACGGGGTTGTGGTTTTTCATATTTTTCCTTCTACTTGTTGCCTCTTTCCCTCAAGTTGTTAATGATCTTGCAGATTGCAGAGATCATCAAGGAAGATTTATGGCCTAATCCTCTCTCCTATTTCAACAATGTAATTTTCTATTCTTTTACTCCTGCTATTTCAACAAGTGCTTCTTGAGGTGACACATTTGTTAATGTTCCAATGCAGGAGGCCGATGAAGAGGAGTTTGAGGGGGATGATGCTGAAGAAGGGGTAAACAAATTTTATCACTTCCGTTTTGTTTTACATGACTTAAAAAGTGTTTTAAGGGGGCAACAACGATGAAGGCGGTGGCTTTGGCTGGGTAGACTCCTGGTTCAAATCTCACCGTCCTCCATTGTGAAGAATACCCATTGATGAGGGGTATCAGCGAGAAGCACCTGCCAGCATGATTGGCATTTATTGTGGCTGACGCTTGTTTGGACTTCTCCGGAGGTCCCTCATTATGTAAAACATTAAGTGTTTTAGGGGGCACCATTAAAGTACTAAATTTTTTAAATACCCCACAATAATTCTAGTGGTGTTGTCTGAGGTGGCTGATTGTCCAAATATTCTGAGTGTGCTTGATAACTCATAAAAATGCATTATCTTAAATCTATAGTTTTGGAAGCACTATTCTACTGTTCTTTTTTTTTTTTTAAAGCTAAAAGCCACCTCTAAATAGTCAAAATGTTTCTTGGAAATAAATAGTTATGATCAATAAATTTTTTCTCGAAACCTTACCCTATGTAGTGTAGGTGTTCTGGTAGAAACTTAATGATCAATATTGCATTTTTTTTCACGGCTAGATTCTCAAGTATACATGGGTTAGTTTCATATTGGTATCTCATTCAAATTACTCATTCGTAGTTGCTGTAGTACTTGAGTTTTGCCGCATTTATTATATTTTGCAAGTGTACATAGTTCCTCCAGTCCTGGTGAAGTGCACCAAATGAAGATATTCTCTTAAAACCTGCCGATTTGTTTGCAATTTAGTCTGGTATACTAGTGTTGTAGTTCGTGACTAGCATGACTTTTCTTGACTGTACACTGTTCCTCCAGTCCTGGTGAAATTCACCAAATGGAGATATCCTCTTGAAACCTGCAATATACGCTGGTATACTGGTGTTGTAGTTCGTGACTAGTATGACTTTTCTTGGCTGAACATCTTTGGCCATCTCCGATGTCTGGTTTATGTCTTGGATGGTGTTATCATGGATACAAATAACCGTTGTTTAATTGGTTGGCCAGTGTTAATCTTGCCTTGTCTGATGTGATATTGGTGTACCCCTTCTCTGCTGTCCTGATTTCTCATGTTTCCTAGTTATCGTTGCAGGATAAGGAAGGGGATGACTCTGAAGAAGATGATGACGAACAAGATGAGGATGAAGATGACGGGGAAGATGAGGAAGAAGGTGATGAGTAGAAGGGAAGCATGCAATTTGAGTTGGCGGTGTGCATGGCTTGGGGCCTTCTGTGTAAAGTGGCGGTGGTTTCTGTTGAAACGGATGATTGCTCGAGTATCTGGTCAATAGGGAGGTTAACCAACTATTAATTTCCTACAGTAGTAGTCGTCATAGATCTCTCTCTCGCTCTATCTACCGTGTAGGCAGTTTCGATATGAGTCTGTAGTTACCTTATACATTGTTCTCAGACAAGGGCTCCCTGTTTTGTTCCTCTTTGGACGAAGCATCCTTTCCTCTCTTTTTTTTTTCCTGGTTCCTCCCTGACAGTCCAGATATGGTTATGAGTTACGAATATGTTGGCTTATACTCTGGTGCCAGTTTGTGAAGCTGTGCAAGAAGATAACTAGAACGATGTCCATTTTTATCTTCTACTATATCGTGTAATAGAATCTTGCCATAATCTAATTTATCTGCAGTTATGTCTTGAACATGGCAGTGGGTCTGCTGTGACCCAGTTTAGTTTTTGATCGACAGTCGTATTGTTACGGGTTGTTGTGTTTGCTATTTCAATAACATGCAGTTCTATGTCCAAAAATATGCAGTTCTACTTCTAAATGAAAAGCGAATCCTATTATACATCGTCTAACAAGACTGCTGTACTAGCTGTCTGTACTAGCATAAAAGTAGATTCTTGTATGTAAAAATTAGGGATGTCAATTCAACCTGTAACCATGGGTACCCTACCCGACCGTAACAGGTCAACGAGGGTAGTTATCCGCTTTAACGGGTTAAGGGGCGGGTACGGGTAATACCCGGTTTCAAAATAAAGGGTAGGGTACGGGTATGGTAATCGATAATACCCGCCCCGTTATACCCGCCCCGCTAACCAAAGGGTCAATTTCCCTTGAGAAATTTAGTTTAGCTTGAGAAATTGAGTTTAACTACCATTATTGATGATGAAGATGTAGACGATTATTATTTTTGTGTGGATTGTAGAAGCAATAACAATTATTATGTGTTTGTTGTTTTTATTTGTGTGGATTGTTGAAACTAGAACAGTTACAAGTATTGAGAATTTTTAACAGACAACAGTATGTATGTGCATATATGTGTATAAGTTCATAATTTAGAATTCGTATCCATGGTTACCCGAATATCCGTGGTTACCCGATGGGTGGGATATGATTATATAATTTTCATACCCGATGGTTATTTGATCAGGTATTTTAGAAGGGTTCTACCCAGCAAGTTAAGAATTGATATAAAGTAACGCGCACCCGCACCCGCACCCGACCCTACCCATTCCCATCCCTGTGTAAAATATGGACGGATACTATGAATGCTTTGGCTCTCCGCTAAAGCTTAAATATCGACAAACATATACGGTAGCCGGTAGGTGATAAAGATGCTCTACCAAAAAAAAAAAGGAATATCGAAAAAATGCGTCGAGACAGACGCCAGACGGGATAATGTTGTTTGATAAAGCGGGCGACCAAACACAGTAAGAATCATCCGTTCAAAAAACAGTATCATTATATTTCATGCTTCCACCGTCCAAGCAGTAGCTGTCAGCCTGTTACGTAGGGGTGGGCAAACGGTTCGGTAAACCCGAACCGAACCGAAACCGAATTAAACAGAACCGAAACCGAATTAATGCTATTCGGTTCGGAATTCGGAAGGAAAATATGGATAGTTCGGAAACCAGGGTTCTCTCAACCGAACCGAATTTCCGAATTTCCGACCGAAAAACCGAAATACTATAATTGCAAGCTCCAAATGGTGGATTTTTATGTTTGTAGTTGTTTTTAGACTTAAATATTTGAAATGTTTTATGACTTATGTATTGAAAAGTTTGATTTTATCATTGATGATGCATATAATTACATATTTATTGTTTATATTTGGGTTAAAAATGATTTAAAAGTGAGAAGATACAAGTACTTTAACAAATTCGATTTTGGGTGAAAAACGAACCAAACCGAATTATAATTCGGCTTAAACCGACCGAACCGAATTGTAATTCGGTTCGAATTCGGTTTGAGGTTTGAGAGAATTCGGGGACCCGGTATTCATAATTTCGGTTCGGTCGAAACCGAACCGACCGAATGCCCACCCCTACTGTTACGAGCACAGCTTTTGCCAACTTTATTGAGTTATTTCTTTCCTTTTAATTTAAAATTTAAATTTTTGTAAGAAAAATCAGATTAATTGTATTTTTTAAAATGATCTCTTTGAAGAAAAAATTTGACGCTACCAGTGTATACAATAATAATATGAATTATCTTATTATATATTGATTTATACATAATAGTAGGAATATATTAATCACCATTAAGGCATTAACCACCTTTCACCACCGTCTACCACCATTATGAAACATGTAGAAGGGTGGTATAGACTGATATATTGAAAAATAAAATTCTTTGAAATATTTAGACCACAATAAATCATGATAAACCCGTTTATTTTGTGCAAGATTTTCAAATTTTGAGTTAAAAACGAAGGTATTACCAGGGAATACAAAAGTGGTAACAAGTGATAATTGATGGTATGAAAAAATTGCTCGAAATATATCGACAATGAATATTATTTTCTAGATCACAACAAACCCCTTAAATTTGTAAAAAAAAATTAAAATACAAGTTAAAACGAAAAAATATAAATCAATTAGAAAAGTAGAAAAAATCTTTTCATATCACCTCTTAAGTCCTGCCCTACTCAAAATCAAAATACCAAATTTAGTTAAAGACATAAATGCACGATGAATGAATATGTAACATACCCTACAGTCTACACAGTACTTGCATATATAATATAAATTTATTTGTGGCTCCACTGTTTCTCAGGTTTAATGGGCTGTTTTTTTTTTTAAATTTTGTCTTGCGTCTGGTCACGGGTCACACCAACTTTGTACATATACTAATACTAGTGTGTGTAACCAGCGCAGCTGAGTCTCCAACCTTCCGCGAAACCCTCTAGCCGGCCGGCAGCTACTAACCCGTGGAGATCATGGTGCAATCTAGTGGCGGCAGCTCATCATCATCATCATCAGCTGGGATCCCCGTCGTCGACCTCTCCCCTTTCTTAACCGCCGCCGACGAGACGGGGAAGAAGAAGAAGGCGGCGATGGAGGCGGTGAAGGAAGCATGCTCGGAGTACGGCTTCTTCCAGATCATCAACCACGGCGTCCCCACCACACTCATGGACCGAGCCCTCCAACTCTCCTCCACATTTTTCAACTTCTCCGACGACGAGAAGCGCAAGTTCAGCGCCCCACCGGTTGCTCCTTTGCCCGCCGGATACAACCGCCAGCCGCTCCACTCTCCGGACAAGAACGAGTACCTTCTCATGTTCCCTCCTTCCTCCCCCTTCAACGTCACCCTCACCCGCCCTCCCGACCTCGGGGAGGTCGCGGAGGAGGTTTTCTCGCGCCTGAGCAAGACGGGGTCACTGATAGAGGGGATCATCAACGACTGCTTGGGGCTTCCGGCCGGATTTCTGGGCGAGTACAACTCCGACAGGAACTGTGACATAAACAACAATTACAACCGGAAAAAGTACAACAAAAGAATCCAAATTATTCAATAACTGAAAAAAGTAAAAAGGAATATACATCAAATAATTATCTGACATCCTAACTGATTCATCGACTAAACAAAACAATACATGCTTATCCACTAATAACACTGCGTTCATTTGCATCACCGAAAAGATACAGGTTAATCGTTAGAGAATCGGTACCTTATAAACAATAATATCATAAAAAACCGTTAGAGAATCGGTACCTTATAAACAATAATATCATAGCAGAACACACATAAAGTAATAATCTGATAATTTAATGAGTAAAAATGATAATTTCAGGTACCATTTAGTAATTCTACACAACATATATATAGCAACTAAAAACAAACCCTAACCTAATCCTAAGCGGCAACGCCGCTTCCCCACCCCTCACTCTCCTTCCTTCCGCTTCCCCTGTCCCCCCTCCCACTCTCCTTCCTCCTCTCCCACCGCCATCTATTTTCATTTTTCAGCCGCTATCGCCTTCTGCAAATTCTCAAAAACCCATCACCACATTCAATTCTTCCTCATCCTTTCTTAACCCGTAAATGCTCTGTTGATATGACTTGAATCGGACTATCAACCGCTACGACTGGTAATCGGGGGTCTCGCTGCCCGGTCAGCGAGTGGGGTCCAGGGGCAACGCCCCCCGCCCACGGTGTATGGGCTCAATGTTATTTGGGTTCGGGTTCTGCGCCTGGTTTGTAACCGTTTTCTTTGTCAGATTGGATTAGGTTTAGACCCACATGGAGAAGTGCTATAAATACTTCTCATACTCCTCTGTAATCTGTAATCTCCTCGATATAGTGAAACTGGCTCTCTCTCGCCCGTGGACGTAGCTAACACACATCGTGTTAGTGAACCACGTAAATCGTGTGTCTGTGGTTTTCGATTCTCGCTCTCGTATTCTTGCTTTGTCGATTCCGGCAATTTCCCGATCCGTAGCAGCGCGTTTATAACATGCTCTTCCTCGTCCCAATCCGCGAAATGGCTCGGAATCAATCCAAGCCTCTGGTGAGACAGGGAAGCTTAGCGGGGATCTGCTTGAGACGATGGCGACGGGACGGAAGCGCCGAGAGCGGGGAACTGCTTGCTACGACAAGCACTGGCGATGGCGATGCGGTGGCGATGCGATGGCGACTGGGGATGGCGATGTTGTCGGGAAGCGCCAACGCCGGGACAAGAGGTGTTGACGGCGGCAGGGTGGCGCCGCTCTTCTCCCTCTATAGTTTGTTCTAGGGTCGAAGATGAAGAAATGAAATGAATTAGATTAGGGTTTTGTTTGGCTGCCCCAGACCCATGATTTCCCTTGCCCTTCTCGATTTCAATTTTCAATTTTTTCTTAAGTGAACAAAACGGCCGGAAGGGGGAAACCGTGCGACTGGCTCGAGCGGTTAACCGCCTCGGCCGCTGTAAAAACCCATAACGATAAAATAGCTGATCCGATCCGGTTTTACGATCGGGTGGCGGCTTTAGCGGTCCGGCCGGCCGGCTCAGTTCGGCTTTAACAACACTGCTTTTATCACAAAGCAATGATTATGGAATATATTTGTTTTTTTTTAACTCCTCACTTATAAAATGCAACAAAAAACATAAATTAAAACGATAAGAATTTCATGTTAACCCAAAATCATTCACTTCCAAAATTTGTAGATTTTGCAGCATCGAGTAGAATGTTAATGACATTAACTGGTATCTATCATGCCCCGTAGGCCGTAGAATAACCTCCACAATTTTGGAATTGATCATATTTTAAGTGTGTCCTAGATACACATGAGAATGAAAGTATTTCCAAAGTCAATTTTTTTTTTACATTCATGAACAAATAGTATTTATATTCATAAAATAAAATATTTTCAATATTTAATTGATAAATCATATCCAACAAATCTACTAAAGGTTAGGACTTTAAAAATTTGTATTTAACTAAAAGGGATAATACATTTCGACAAAAAAGGGGTTAATAGCTTATTTTGACATGAAATTTGACATAAAACACATTTTTTGCCGTAATTTTCAAATAAGGCAGTTTCATTTCAATTTTGGAAGAAATTAACAAATTTGACCCGAAATTTAGGTCGACCGTTAATACTGACGGTCAAATATTTCTTTCCTCTATGACTCATTATAATATGCTGAGGTGGTTCCAATGTGGTTTTCACATCATTTATTTCAAGCTAAAATTTGTTCATTTATTCCAAAATTCAGTCAAAACTATCTTTTGTGAAATGTTTGACCGTCAATATTAACTGTCAACCAAATTTTGGGCCAAAAATTTGTCTACTTCTGTCAAAATTCGAGAAAAACTATTTTATTTGAAAGTTCAAACCAAAATTATCTTTTATTCGGTAAAATGTTAACTAAAACTAATATTTAGCATGCCATTGGTTTTGGAAATTGGACTATGGACTAATTGTTTATTAATTAGTTATCGTGACATGGGTTTCACTTTTCCTGTCTTGTGCGCAAAGCACAGAAGGGTCGTCGAACAGGAGACCAAAAGATGGTTTAGATTCATTTTGAAACAACAAGAATAGTGATTTCAGCAAAATAGTATCGACTAACGTTTTAATTAAGAGAATTTCAATATAGAAAGATCCAAAGATTTTTATTTAATGCAGCTCAATGGCATCAGTGGTTTAGATTCGTTTTGAAACAATAGGATTAGAGAAATGAAGAACTCTACTAACAAATTTCTTCAAGAGGAAATGAAGAGATAAAATTTGATTTGTCGAACCAACTCAACATGTCATCTTGAATATAAAAATCAGTATACTTAAACTTAATTGTTATATCAAAACAATTATCTAGTACCATCCATATAATCATACCTATAAAAGGTCAACCTAAAAGTAGAAGTTACAGCCCTTAAAAGTATGGGCGATAAGTGTAGAAATTGAATTGAAACTTGTCCATCCAATTATATGTATAGTCCATATTAAATTATGGTCAAATATGCGTTGCGGTCCAAAATCGCACCAAACTGCTTATTTAAACGGTGCAGTCGGAACGCACCAATTGAATTGCGAACAAACATGTGGTGCGGTCCAAATAGCATGCGATGCGGTGCGATCTAAGTCGATACGGTGGGTCCAACCGCACCACTTGCCCACTCCTAATGTGAGATGATTTATGTTACAACTCAATACGGTAAATAGGATGTACGTCCACCAAAAAAAAAATTACCAAAAGATATGTCATTCCCAATTAGACATATTAAAATCTACAAATATCACCAATGGAGACGCATAAACTAGCAAACCAAAACCAATATCGTTCCATTTTTGAACAATGCATTAGGAAAGTAAACCAAGGAATCGCCCATAAATATACAGCTTACAGAGAAAGAATCAATAAATCATTAATTGGAACCAATAAGATTAAGAACATTAAAAAAAAAAAACCCAAAGTATATCGCTATCAAATATCTTAGTTGACGGCGCCACAAATCCTCCTGATCTGGCCAGCAGAACCCATGAGCGGCTGAATATCACCCATCCTGACCATGGCGGCGGCGAAATCCGCACTAAACCTCGAAGGACTCCGACTATACTCCTCCACAATGCTATTGGTGGAGCCACCGCTGTACAGAACCTGGTCAGACACAAGGAGCCCTTTCCTCTGCACAAGATCCCTGAAGTAATTATTATCAAACGAATTCGGCGTCACCAAATCCAACGGCGCCAGCGCATCGTCCCCTCCGACCGCCGGGCATCGGCGCCTCCGTGTGCTAGCGAATCCAGCGTCGATATCCTCCGTGCCGTTGCTATAGATCCTGTCTCTAAAAGTGAAGCATTGGGCCTGGCCCAGAGTATGGGCCCCGGAGAGAGCCACCATGTCTCTCGGGCTCAGCCCTTTCGCCCCGAAGTTATCGATCAGAGTCTGGAGATCGGCCTTGAAGAACGGGAGGTCGGTCAGCGCCACGTCAGGGAATGCCGCGGTGGAGTCTCTCCTCCCGAGCTTCACGTCCCACGCGGGGCCTCCCACGTAGGCGGAGGCTTCTTTCGCCGCGACCGCGAGAACGTCCGCGCACGAAACGACGCCGGGGCAGATTCTCTCGAGTTGGGCTTTGGCGGCGTCGATGAGTTGGTAGCCCCTGGCGGACTTGTCGTTTGGTGGGGCGGTTTTCTCGGTGGTGATGGTTGGGGATTGGTCGAGGAGTATGGAGGCGTCGCAGCCCTGGACGAAGCAGTCGTGGAAGTGGAGACGGAGGAGGGAGGCCGCCATTCTTCTCTCCCTGGCGATGCCCGTCCTTATGGAGGTTCGTATTGTGGAGAGTGCGTTGGGGCAGGAGCTGGCGTAGAAGTTTGTGGTGAGCTGAGCTTGGGTGTGGTTTACAGCGACACTGCTGATGAGGAGTAGCAGCAGGAAGTAGTGGAAGGTGGCCATTATTGTTATACGGCTACGTGCTCAAGTCTGAATGATGATGATAGAGAGATAGAGAGAGATGGGAAATATTGAGGTTGATGAGAGAGTTGCATTGCATCGGGGTTTATATATAGGAACGGCCAACGAAACTGCGTTGAAAGTCAAAGCTGAATGCTTCTGACATTATTAACGCGTATGTACGTTTCTGATCTCTAGGACTAGTGTATTATGGATATAATATTTGGCTCAATATTGAGAGTCGGGTCGGGTGTACCATTTCTTGCTTGGATTACCTTTGAACTTTCTTACCAAACTCATCACCCCGATCTCTTATACATGTATTTATTTTTTAATATATGGATTTGATTGGATAAAGTCAGGCTTGTCCGTATGTGAAAACGTCAACACAGTTAACCAGCTCATTAATCCCATAAACAAAGTGGTCGCTGTTATGGAAAAGGAATCACTGCTAGGGATGTCAATTAATCCAAATTCATGGGGTACTCGATCTGATTTAAAACAGTCATAGTCGGTAAAATTCAGGATTGACAGTTTTTTATTATCAGCTTGTTGATATGACTTGAATCGGATTATCAGCCGCTACGACTGGTAACCGGGGGTCTCGCTGACACACATCGTGTTAGTGAACCACGTAAATCGTGTGTCTGTGTCTTTCGATTCTCGCTCTCGTATTCTTGCTTTGTCGATTCCGGCGATTTCCCGATCCGTAGCAGCGCGTTTATAACACCGCTTTTGAATTTGCGGATTGAGTTTCGATTTTGCCAAAAAGCAACCCATGTAGTTAGTCTTTATGGATGTTAGTAGTCTTCACGGACATATATTTGTAGAAAAAATTTCGATAACATTACAATGTAGGTGTTAGAAGAAACAACATATATAGTTATGGTCGTAAAGTAGTAAACCCATGTGTATCGTGAATTGAGTTGGGTTTTCTCTTCTAAAACCTAATAAGTACGTACTTTACGATATTTTTTTAATGAGTAAGTTCGCTGCATTTGGTTTGGGTTTTAGAAAAAATTCAACCGAATCCAACCTATGCGGAATTTTACAATGCTATATATCATTGGTGCTATAGTTTTTTACCTTTATGGTACAACTTGGAGTTGTACATTTAATGTTATGGTGCAATTTCAGATTGTACATGTACTCTTTTGTACAAATTCTTTTATAGTACAACTTGAATTTGTACCTTTATGTGATGGTATAACTTCAAGTTGTACCATAACATAAGTGTACAAGTTCCTTTATAATAAAACATGAACTTATACATTTAACGTTATAATACAACTTCAAATTGTACATTCAAACACTAATACTTTATAGTATAGTAGAACTATTCCTAACCCATTATCATCTCTGATCATTGCATTAGCAGGGCAGAAAAGAAAACTGGCTGGCTGCTAGTAAGCACTATTCATAAATGGCGGGCGAGGAGAGCAGGGTAAATAAAATTAAAGGAAAGAAATCATTTCTACTGCACTTGCCAGGAAACGTACTAAAACCAAACTGATGGGCAGCAACGGTCAGCGACAGCGAGTCTAGTGCTCCTACAAAAATAGTTGGAAATTTCCCGTGCCTTGTGTTGTGTAACACATTTCCTGGAAATTTTTCCAAAAATAGCACTCTTTAAAAAAAAAATTCCAAAAATAGCACCCAACTCCGAAAAATTCAAAAAATAGTATCATTTTTGTAAAACCGCCACCCGGAGGTGCGTTTTTCGATGAAACGCCACCCGAGGGCGCGTTTTTCGATGAAACCCGCACTGGTAGGGAGCGGTTTTGCAGACCGCACCCCCAGGGTGCGTTCTGCCTTTTTTTTTTCTTTTTTTTTTAAAATTCTAACTTAGGTGGAAACTTCAAACCAACGTATCTTTATGTTCGGGTATCCGATCGTCGCGATTTTTTATTTGATTCCGCATAACTTTTTGAGATCTTGCAAGCCGAAGACTGCCAAAGGTGGTTTGGTCTCGCCTTCGTACAAAAAAATGTCGTTTGCTACCCCGAACGAGCTTTTTTCCGATTTCGTCAAACTTTGGACAACCGTAACTTTGTGCTCCAAATCCAAACGGCATGATTTTTTTTTTATTTCGCATAACTTTTTAAGGACTACAATTTTTACTAGGAATGTATTTTCAAAACAGGAATTATTTTTGGATATACAGGATTTTGGGAATAGCTTATCTTCCCTTCTCAGCAATCCACGTACATTTTGAAATTATATCTATGATAAAAGTTGTATTCCTTAAAAATTTATGCGAAATAAAAAAAAATTCATGTCGTTTGGATTTTGGAGCACAAAGTTATGGTGTCCAAAGTTTGACGAAATCGGAAAAAAGTTCGTTCAGGGTAGCAAACGACATTTTTTGGGACGAAGGCGAGACCAAACCACCTTTGGCAGTCTTCGGCTTGCAAGATCTCAAAAAGTTATGCGGAATAAAAAAAAATTCGCGACGATCGGATACCCGAACATAAAGATACGTTCGTTTGAAGTTTCCACCTAAGTTAGGATTTTTCAAAAAAAAAACGCAGAACGCACCCTGGGGGTGCGGTTTGCAACCAAAACGCACCCTGGGGGTGCGGTCTGCAAAACCGCTCCCTACCAGTGTGGTTTTCATCGAAAAACGCGCCCTCGGGTGGCGTTTTCATCAAAAAACGCACATCCAGGCGGCGGTTTTACAAAAATGGTGCTATTTTTGAAATTTTTCGGAGTTGGGTGCTATTTTTAGAATTCTTTTTTAAACAGTGCTATTTTTGGAAAAATCTCCATTTCCTGTACTAACTTTGCTTTTCGGTTCAGAGGCCTATAATAATTATAATCTCCGCGTTCCATCATGTTGTGTTATTCTCTTTTGTGAATGCATGGCTCCAGTATTTATTCAGTACTGTACACACACATGCTAACTACTTTTCAATCAACGATCCTTTACACCTTTTCAACTTTTCTTTTCCAAACACATGTTTAGTTATGGCGGCGATCGATCAGACTAATGATCGGGTGTCTTGTGGGTTGTTTTAGTCATATGGTTAGCTTCGTTTTACTTTTTAGTTTGCTGTTCTGATTTTAATTTTGTAAGTAAAAGGTAAGAAAATAATTATATAACTAATCTATGTGTTTAGTAGAAACAAAATAATAATTTTCTTAATTGATCTTAAACCAGAGATAGTGGTTGAAGACAACGGTCGGAAGAGAGAAAGATGTAGGCATGTAGCTAGAGATGAGCCAGTGGAAATGCTGGCGGGAGGAGAAAAGAAAGGATATCAAAGGAGGGAGGGGAAGTGATGGGAATTTATATATTTTCTAGTCTGCTTTGCATATTCTATGATATGTTCTGTAAGTTTTGTGATTAGGTTCTTATACTGTGTAACTATAGTTTTATAATACGTTTTGCGTAATTTTTTGGCAAAATACAATTGTATATCCACAACTATCAAGTTTGTGACAAATATATCCACAACTATCGAAATACACGAAATATCCAAAAATCGGAAGGTTGTGTGACAAATCTATCCACTTCCGTCTGAAACTATAATGGCGTGTCAGACGACGATAAATTGACTAACAGAATGTTGAATCAATGCCATCTCACCTGCCACATAAGCAAAAAAGCAACCAAACTTTACACGTAGATGCCAAATAGGCTAGTTGAATAAAGGCAAAATACAGCTGTATATCCACAACTATCAGGTTTGTGACAAATATATCCACAACTATCGAAATACATGAAATATCCATTTCCGTCTACTCCGTTAACTCCGTCAGTTAACTTGATGACTGGACAAACGGTGAATGCTTAGTTGGCGTGTTTCTAACCCTACTGAATGACGTGGATTAAAATAGATTTTTTTAAACCCTAAAAAACAAAGACATCAAGACTAAAAATCCAACCAAGAAACACGCCCGATAACCACTGATCCTCCTCCGATCGACGCCTCCATCCCCAAATAACCCTACCACAATCCCCAACCATTGCCTCCCTTTTACTCCGACGGCTTCTATGCAGTCGGCGCCATGGTTGCCTTTTGGCTTATGTGGCAGGTGAGATGACATCGATTCAGCATTCTGTTATTCAATTTAACGCCGTCTGACACACCGTTATAGTTTCAGACGAAAATGGATAGATTTGTCACACAACCTTCCGATTTTTTGGATATTTCGTGTATTTCGATAGTTGTGGATATATTTGTCACAAACCTGATAGTTGCGGATATACAACTGTATTTTGCCTAAATTTTTTTTCTCTTTTAATCCATGTCATTTAGTGGGGTCAGAAACACGCCAACTAAGCATCCACCGTATGTCCAGTCATCAAGTTAACTGACGAAGTTAACGGAGTGGACGAAAATGGATATTTCGTGTATTTCGATAGTTATGGATATATTTGTCTCAAACCTAGTAGTTGTGGATATACAGCTGTATTTTGCCTAATTTTTTTATCCGATTTATATACCAAGTACTTTTACTTTCTATACATTACATGTTATAAGATTTGTATGCTATCATGTAATCCTAGTTTATAAACTTTTTTTTATCATCATTGTATCATGTGTAATTTGATTTTGTATAGATAGTAATCCTGTATATATACTTCGTCATCTAGATTCTATACTTTTGTGATCTTATTTTATACAACGTATTATATATATACCAAATTTGTAACTGCATAAAATTTGTAATGTTTTTTTTTTCAATCGGGTATCTTTCATTTCATCAAAAGTAGTACTAGCAACATCCTTGTTAGTTAGGAGATAACAACCCAAAACCTTTCACCTGTATAATATGCTATACAAAGAATCATATACTTGCCTACCAAAAATCCCTATCACTTCCTCTCGTATAACCTTGCACAATACGTCACTGTCCCTACGTTTACCTGAGTGCACCCTACTGCACCTTTCTTACCACACCACACTAACCAAGCTTTGCCACATAGCTCTGCCAACTTGAGATGTTATCGTTTTAGACCCAAAACCCTGCTGTAACCAAACAAGCTCACTGTCCAG